AAATACTTACAATTATCGTGAATGCTATTATTTAGAAGATAAAATTCTTAACTCGATGAAATTTTCTTTGCTTAAAATGGTTACCATATAGCCCATTTCAATTTAAGTTCATAAAAAACTTTTAAAATAATTTATTTTTACTTTTATTTTTCTAAAAGAATAAGTTTTTAACAGTTCTCAATTAATTATTGTTAACAGGCATTGCTTAAAACACAACATTAACCAAGGGATCTTGGTAATATATACAATGAACACATGTTTTTATGTTAACGATGATGGTTTGATTAGTTAGCCTCACATAAACAATGTCCTATTTCATCTGTTAATTCTAGACATTCTATTTGTGTTATATCATTTAAGCAACTAATAATTAAATAAGCAACAGAGCATTGCATTTAAATGATTAGCACGGTATTTTGAATTAATATTGTGGTTAATTATACTTATAAAAAAAAAATTAACTATACGAAATTATTATTTTATTTTTAAATTCAAATAATTCATGGATAATTTTTTTTTTTTAACTAAAACCAAAAAACTCTGAAAAGTTCTTTAAGGTATTGAAAATTAATGAAATATTTGTAATGCTGAATATTTATTATGACCCAGGCATTATTTACTAAGTGTATAGCTAAATGTATACTGAGAATTCGTTGAACATTTCACAGGAAATTGTCTTATATTTCACTGGAGGATGGCGCAAATATCTCTGAGATAATCATTAGGTAATAATATGCAATATAATTTTGATGGGAATTTTAATGGACCGTTTAAAAAAATTATTACTATACCAGAGAATTACGAAATGTTAAAATAGTTTACAAATTTTATCAAATATTGTCGACTACAAAGTGCTAAAATACATTAATTATAAAGATGTTCTTTTTGTATTATATATTAATATATTAAAAATAAAGTATCTCTCAAAACAAGAAATAATTCTTAGTTAAAAAATTCTTTAAGATATATTTAAGTAAATGTCGAATTGAGTTTTAAGTACAATATACAGAATGGAACAGATCTAACTGACAACTCTTACAACTTTTCATACAATTGAATGAAACTTTAGGATAAGTACTTATTGAGTTACAAACATTTTAATACACAGAGTGTGTATGTAACACAAGTGAAGTATACGATATAAATATTCATCTGTACGAGACACCCACTCGATGTACTAAAATTCGTGTAACTCAATAAGTACTCATCGTAAAATTGTTATCGACCCATTGAAATTTATTATATGAAAATTTCTAAAAACAGATGCGTTGAAATTTTGAAAAAAATAATATTTTTCTCATCATTAAAAATAAATAGTACGAAATATGATTTTACTGTAGTCTAAGAACGCGAAAATCGTTTAAAAGAAAATAGCAACGCAATGATTATTGAATCAAAAGTTATAACAGATGTCAGTTGGACCTTTTCCACTCTGTATGTGATTAAAATTCAAACTTGAGTTCAGAATTGAAATTGCGGATTCATATGTATGTATACATCGTTTCAAAGGATATTGGTTTTCGTGACACCTTATATCCAAATTGCATACATTTCGGTTTATTGAAGAACACAAAACGGAAAGGAATGCTCTTTTGAAGTTTACTAAACTATGTCAATCTCTCGACGTTCTTTTAGCGTTAAAATTGTTTTCATTAAGAGCAGCCATTACCGAAAGTCTCTTCAACCCGCATACACGTGCGTGAAAAATTATGTAGTTAAAAACATTCCTGTACAATACGACAGCATATTATTACATGACTTTAGAAAAGGGTAAGAAGAGGTATCATAAGCGTGACCCTTGAAGCGGTGGTTTCACGTACATTAGTCTCTTTTGTAGGTCCATTAGCGTCACAGCATCAAGTAGTATGGATCGCGTGTCGCGCATAAATAATATTTTTCAAATAGCTTCTTTTTTGTTATTATTTTTAATACTCGGTTTTTAAAAATCTCGCGCGGTCAATTGATGAGAGCACTATACGTGAAATGAAAATAAAATCGGTCTCGACAATAGGAGAGCCTCGTGAGGGGTGGCAACATAATTTAATATAATTAAATATGAAGAAATCGTCCGAAGTACACTGACAGTTGATGTATTCTCTCAACACCCTCTGTGCCTCAAGTGCCGGTAAACATCGGACAGACAGACACTATTGTTATTATCATTTTTAAACAAACGAACAACATAATACACTGCCGTGTACGTGTGTGTCCATTGCATGACTATATTTTATAATATTGTATGAGTTTTAAGCCCAAATGTAAAGACAGATGTTTATTTATTTAATCGTGTCTAGTATGTCATTTTTACGTTACAGTTTGTACCTTCAACAAACCGAACTCTACATTATTTCAGTTTTATCATGCCATTTGAATTGTGTTACTGGAAAAAACGCAATGATTTTTCAGTCTTATTGGTCTGCCAAAACGATGCATATTTTATGTACTTTGCACGAGTGAAAATCCGTCGGTTATTTGTCACTTGTAACTTCAGACAACACCCAAATGAAAAAAGTATTAAAAACGTTCAAGTTTTTTCACTAGTCCACTTTTTGTGTGGTCATAAGAGGATTAACTCGATACATGCTGACGCAACAGACGGATATCCGAGACTAAAGCCTAAAACAGACTTCCGAAAAACGTCAATAATTAAACACTCCATAGCTCGCGAATTGTTCTCGGTATATGTAAGAATAATACGCATATGTAAGAACCTCTTGCACGTACTTAGCGAAAATGCACAGGAGATTAAACGAAATTGCTAAGGTATCTGATTAACAGTTCTCGTTTACCTCAATATTAATATGAACAGTAATAACAATACAAGGAAGTTCCTGAGGAAATGTTCCAGTTAAAAGCATTCTGAAGACTACATGTGTACAAATAACTAAACGACTAATAATTTCACTAAATTCTAAGAATATTTCATAAAACAGTTTTACATTTAATTTGTTATGAATTCCTGCGTATAAATTCTTCGGCGCAAGTAATTTATGATTATCTCGGTAAAAATACATTTTCAAGTATGTTCCCAGAGTATTATGAAGAGAAACTCCCAAGATGACAAACATAAATTCGGGCTGTACAACAACATGTTTAAAAAATACACCATTGTATACTGAACCAGTGGAAGCCTAAAAAATGAACTTTAGTGGCCGAACGATATTTATCGAAGTTGTTCGGTAAAATGGCCTATAAATTCCTACTTCTTACAATAAAAGCCGAACGCGTAAAACTTTTGACGATCGCCGAGTCTTTAAAATTTCAGATTTAACTACAGACCGTTTCTTCTTTACACGAGATCCTATTCTCCCTAAGATGTAATTTAATCTCGAAACGGTCTGATCAATGTTTTTACTTTTTCATCGGTCATATTTCAAAATAAAAATGAAAAATGATGATAATAATAAACAAACTCATCACTCGATGATCGATGTTGTTTTGACCGTTACAACAACATTCAGTTGCGGTTCCGGTGAATCACTCCGACCCGCACGTACTCACCTCCCGCCCCGTAATTGCGCATATGTGACGACCACATACACTTAAATAAACGCGCGCCACCTCATTTCTTCACCACGTCGCCGTTTTCGTCCCCTTGTTCTCTGAAAAGAAAACGCCGATTGTTGTGGCCGTCCCCTTATATCACGAGAATGATTATTATTGCCCGCAAAGCTGTCACCGTCGGGAGTCTCTCCTCCCTTTTGTGAATGTGTATATAATAATATTCTTCGATTAATATGAAGGTGCATGAATCACCTACTCCGATCAGTCATCGCTGCTACTGCAGCATCGACGGCGGCAGTCGAAGCGACAAAAGGAATAGGGTCGTCGTCGAGAGGGTCGTGCGGGCGAAATGGAGATTAGAAACGCAACAGGGACGACGGGCGTCTCAAAGTTTCACAATATTCTAACAGCTGATATTACTACCGGAATTCCCCGTGTATTATCATATAGATTACATCACATCGGTTGTATCCCTAGAGGCCGAGGATTTTCATAATAAATAAAAAAAACCTCCGGGATAAAAAAGACAGTTCAATTTTTGTCGTTGAACCTATTCCGTTTCTAACTAAACCGAACTTTGGTTTTTAATTGCAAAATACTAATCGCCAGCATTTATTACGTCTCCTAATCACAATTTACGGGGTTCGTTTAAACGCAATTAAAAACGAATGAGCGCAAACATTATTTCTGGTATTGCAGTCACTAAGCAATTAAATTTTGCTTTCGTATTCTCTCTTAATTTTACACAACGTTACTCTTTTCACGTTTTTTAATCAAACTTTAAGCCAAAAACGTCGCATAACTAAATTTGTTCATAATAAAAAACCAAAATATTCACTTTGAATTTTATTACTTTTTTGTATTGTTTGACGTTAAAAATGTATACATTTATCTTTTGTTCGTTGAATTCATTTTGCGTTCGTACCTGTATCTTGTTAGTTTTTCATTTTTCATCATTTACGCCTTCCGGAGCCTAATAAATCCGCACACACAAAGTTTATTTTATTCTTTATAGACTAGTAAAAATAAAAATCTACCCAAATATAACACAGCTGGCAATACTCCTTTTATTTTATGCAGTGGCATGTGTAGATAATTTACGGTAAATCTCTAGACAAACCCTAGAGGAGATGATGTTCATTGACGAAAGTGAATAGAACAACATAAATACAATAAAATTTAATGACAGTGAACTAATTTTTGCCCTATCGATAAATCTAATTTTGATAACTAACATTTAGTGTAAACGCCTCTAATTGAAAACACTTTTTGAAAACTTGATAGCTTTAGCACAACAAAAAATTCACTAAATTTACTATAACAAAATATCAATTCTATTAAAGCATTATTCTTTGGAAAAATATTCAACCAATGACAATTGACTAACAAACAATGAAATTTTATAACTGATGTATTTTTTTTATTCGTATATTTTGTGCAAAATATTATTTGTCAAATGAAAAGTACTAACGGTTTTGTTTCTAATTTGTTTACAGAGATTTGAGTCACAATCAACTTTTTTACATTGGAAAGAACACGCTTAAAGGTGCACAAGCTCTGAGAACGCTGTAAGTAAATAATAAAAATGTAAACAGCAGGTATAAATAATAAACCTACTGGAGATATTTACTTGTTGGAAATTTAACTTCAATTTATTATTTCATTGTCTCCTTTTATAATGCTTGTTTTTCTCAATATTCTCCTATTGTAATGTGAAATGTCTTTTACCGGAGGGTTTCGTTCATTCTTTTTAATCGACCGCAATGATAATGTCTACTAAAATAAAAATAAATATAGTCAAGTATTTTGAAAACTGAAACTTTTTCGATACGCATCATTCATCGTTACTTTTCCCCTTCGTACAAAGTGTGAATAAAGTAAACGTTCAACGAAAAATGAATTCATTATTGACCTCTATTATAATTTTTGGTATTAATTAGAATAAAATTACATTATCTTTGATCGATTACAGGTTGTTGGACAACAATCAACTGCTTTGTGTCGACGAACAGTCAATCAAAGGACTCAAAGACTTGGAAATACTGTAAGAAATCATTTTTCATTTTTTGTAAAATTAAAAATAAATTTAATATTAATTTTTGCACCTGACAGAACATTAAACAACAATAATCTGACCACTTTGCCTTCCGGGCTGTTTTCGGATCTTTACCGTTTGAGAAACGTCCGATTGTCTGATAACAAATTTCAATGCGACTGTTTGTTAGATTGGCTTTACCAACAATGGCTACCGAGAATCCCAAGACTAGGTTCGTCTACTTACTGCCACGGACCTCCAAACATGGCTGGTTTACCTCTATCCGATATGCACAAATTCCATATGCAATGCGGTAATCATCATTAATATTATACATTTAGCCAAAACATATAATACAAAAGCCTAATTCATCAAATTAAATTAAATTATATTAAATTGAACGAAACTAGAAATACAATAATTCACTTGCATAATAAATGGTGTTATTATTTTCAATAATTACAAGCCACTTAAGTGTATCTTTTCCGAAACATAACTTTTTCTATTCGATTAGTTATTAACAGTTGTACAAGGTATGTGAAACTCTATGTACAACCTCATTAGTTGCAGTTGTTTATCATAACACAGAGGTGAATGATAAGTAGTAGCGCTTGTTTACAGTATGATATCACTTAAACAGTGTCTTATGCATATTTATGTACATTGTATTTATGACCATTTTATACAAGCAACACTCAGGCCGCTAATAAAAATAATATCGATGATGTAATTTACGTTTTTTTTATATATGCTATTAAAGACGGCGATTTCAACGGTCAAACGGTGGAATGCGGTCCTGCAGTTGAAGATCAAAAGTCCTCCTGTCCACACCCATGTACTTGCGAAGAGGGGGGCATTGTAAACTGCAGGGAGAAGTCGTTGACCAAGGTGCCGACCAAGCTCCCCGAGGACATCGTAGAACTGTAAGACAAAATTATATTTTAGAAATTTAGTTAGATCATATTTAATGGTACTGACTTTTACCATAATTATTACCACAGGAGACTGGAACAAAATCAAATTACTGAAATCCTACCCAAAGCTTTTGTAAAATACAAACGCCTTCGAAGAATGTAAGTTTTTCCCCGAAATGTTTAATTAATAGTCGAATAAAAATATTTCATACAATTCAAATTGTTACAGAGACCTGAGCAAGAATCAGATAACAAAGATATCGGTAGATGCTTTTCAGGGACTCAAGTCGTTAACTTCGTTGTAAGTTTATTTATGTATCATAAAAGAGTTGATATTTTTTAGATTGTATTTGATACAAGCTAAAAAATACACGTGTATACGTGATAAATAAAAAGGGAGCTTTATGAATAGGGGAAACCCCTAAAAAAACAGCCTTGCTGGTACACACTATAATTTTAATTTGTCCAGTTAGTGTTTGAATTATAAATCACACTACAAAAACTAGAGAAAGTCAAAGGGAAAAGTATTACTAGTTATATTGGCGCAAGACCAATATAATAATTCCAGGGAATAAAAAAGAACATTAAAAACCTACCATGATTTTCCAATGGTTTTATTGAGCAACTTTAGCTTGTATAGAATTATCACTTTTGCCTGGAAGGTGTTTTTTTTTTTTGTTAAAAATTTGAACACCTTCCAAATTTGCCTCGAGAACTTTGTTTTTGTCTGGTATACTCTATCAACCACTCGTATATCATTAGAACAGGTACCCTAAACCCATTATCGACGGCATTATCGGGTGGCGTCATATAATACATCCCGGTATAGTTTTTATCTTTATCCTTTTAGTGGACGATCGGATAAAAAATGAATACAACAAAATTAGCGTTAATCTCATTTACCGCTGGAGGCAAAAATCAAATAGGCCGTTGGGATTTCATGAATAACATTTTATATTTTCCTTTAACTTCGTACCTACTAAAATATAAGATTTTCATCGCGTGATCAGAGTACTCTGATACAATACAAATTTGTGCAGACGAGTCGATGTTCTTTAACTCGGTCCTTACTTCTATTGTGATATATATTTTCATTTTTGAAAACCATCTTATTGCATCGCTTGTCAAATATTATTCCACCGAATTGAATTGTTGATCGTAAAATTCGTTTGACTACGTGTAATTTTTGACGAGACACAAACGACGACTAAAATCAAATTGTTTTTGTGCGTTTCCATTTAGGATGTTGTATGGCAACAAAATCAAAGACTTGCCCGGTGGCGTGTTTCACGGTCTGACTTCACTGCAACTGCTGTGAGTGTACAAACAGAGAAAAAACAAACAACCTAACTTGTGGCACGACGTTATTACATGGTTATATTTTTCTTTTACAGACTTTTGAACGCCAACGAGATATCGTGCATTAGAAAAGATGCTTTCCGAGATTTGCACAGTGTCAATTTGTTGTGAGTATATTCAATACGGCGCTCTTATAAATACATTTTTCTCTCAGTTTTTATTTTATAATGAATACATGCAAGACGGAAACAATATTGAAATCCAAAGGCACTAGGTGATCGTGGTGGCTGGGGGTGGGTACGCCATTCTCGAATTACCTGTGAAAACAATCTCTTTTGGATTTCCAAAACGTGCTGAATATTAATGAATATTTCTCGCCTCGTCTCTTTTATTATCGTCTGATATTCAATACGGTTGCAGTTATTTATACCTTAGTTTTTTATTATTATTAGTAAAAGCACAACAAGCTAGTGAATTCGATGCCGCCGCACGCTCAATATATAATACTGCTGATGTCGCCCCACGTTGCTTTGCATTATTTAAATGGACACCCCGAACGCATAACTTTCAAACCTTTTTTAGCCTTGCTAACCGAAGTTGACTTTACATAAATCCCGCTGCTTTGTTATTTTTTAGGTCATTGTACGATAACAATATCAAATCGCTCGCCAACGGCACGTTCGACTATATGAGAGGCATACAAACATTGTAAGTATACTATCTGTGCCATATTATTAATCGTCTTAATTCTCATTATGCATTAACAGTTCAGTTTTATATCGAGTAGGCAAAATTTACATGTGCTAATATGTATTTAATTTAGTTCATCATTATTTAAAAATATTCTAAATAATATTATAATGCAACTGCCGATATTCGTAATCCAAGAATATTATTTGTGTATTGACTGAAAAAAATATACCAGCTTTAATTTGTTTACTTTTTCTCTAGCTCTATTGGATTAATGCATTAGCGAAGTGTATTGGGTTAAAAATATAAAATACTTGTTCCATACATTCAATGGATTTTTCATTAACGGAAAAAAATCTCTGGTACAAACAGCAGCTTTCATGAATAAATTAAAACTGCATTGAATTAATTAATGTTAAAACTGTCGAGTTATTGAAAACCCCTCGGCAAAGAAATTTAAACACTGTAGGGTAGTCTGTAAGAAGTAACAATCAAAACACTTAAAAGTGTTTTTTTACGTGAAAGTCTTATGGTAATCTACCAGCGATGTGAAAAAAATTAAAGGTTAACATTTGGCGGAGTCCAAATTTATGCGGTCAGACATTTTTTTCTTTCCTTTTTTTCCCAACGCTAAAGCAAAAATAAACGACAAGCTTAAAATAAAATTAATTCAAAATCCACAGACTGGATTTGCGTTATATTGAGATATTAAATAAAGTCCGCGGTCGTCCTTATAAAAATGTAACTAAAAAAAAAATGTGTTAAATCAGTTGCTGATAAATACGTGTAAAATCTCGGATATATTTGAGATTTTTTCCTAACCGGATATTCATTTCCTGTCTTTTCCGTTGGTTTCCTATTCATAACAAAATATAGTCATGAATAGTAGCACTTTATTAGCATTGGAAAACTTTACCAAGAAAAACTTCTCTGAAAATGTCTTTTTCTTTCGTCATAAATAAGAACATCGTGAAGTCCGCCAGCTGTGCACTCCATTATTATTTTTGGACAACCGTCTTTTGTTTATACCATTGTTCACTATTTTTGTCGCAGTGTTTGTCAAAGTAGACTCATCAAAATAATCAAACTATGGAACCGTTTACTCGAATAAAATAATAAAACATTTTGTATTTATGAGAAAATACAGACTACCAAATTAACTGTACGTTGTTGTTTATTTTTGTTATTTATTTCAGACATTTGGGCAGAAATCCGTTTAGTTGTGATTGTAACTTACGTTGGTTATCGGATTACTTGCATAAAAACCCAATAGAAACATCGGCTGCTAGATGTGAATCTCCGAAAAAGTTGCAAAAACGTAGAATTGATGGACTAAGCAATGACAAATTTAAATGTAAGTTCACTCAAATTTTCAAATACATTTATTAGAACAACATGGATTTATTTATAAATTTTAATTATATCGAAAATTTGCGGTAATATGGTTATAATCGATATCAGATTTAGGAATATAAGGACGCGAGGACAAAAATAATTAGTCTCGAAAAAAAATGTTTAGTAAGTTTTCTAATTATATGTGAATACTTTAATTTTTATAGGATATCGTGGTTTCAGTCCACTTGGCCTGGTTCTGGTTGTAACTTAATTACCTGACTATCTGATTTCCTCTATATTTACTAAAAACATATAACATGACGCTTATAACAAATGAACACATTGACACATTATAAAAACATTTAATCTGTATACAAAAAAAGTAAGAGACATATAATAAATAAAACATGTAAATAACATATAAAATGTTTTTAAAGAAATTATACACAAAAGTATTTATAAGCCTCGGGGCTAAGTAAAAACATAATAATTGATCATGACAACGAAGATTGAAATACAGCTTCCAACTAATAATCTCAGGCATTTTGATAACACATAGAACGTAAGAATAATTTTTTTTTTTTTTGAAAAACAAAATAAAGAGCCAACATTTTCATGAACCAAAAATAAAGTAACAAATAAAGGATAAATCATGTCATGGTTGGGTTGATTACATATTCCGACTGATTGACTAAAGTTTCATTCTGTGAAACGTTGTTAGACATCAAATACTTTAACAATATTTTTTCAGTTATAAAAATTTAATTTATGAAAAACATATTATAAACATATATTAACATATATTTACTATATAATTTAAATAACAAAATTATGTTATTGTAAGTTTAAAAATATGTATGCTAAGAAATGATTAGTTGTGCAGCCATGACACAAACTCTAGCCCACTTCATTTGGACGTCAACGGCCCAGTTTTGAATCATAATTATCGAGCTCGGGTATTCAAACTTTTTAATAACTTTTTTAGAAGTTTTAACTATCCAATATTTTCATCCTGTTTACTTCTGATTTATTTTATCGAACAACGCAAATGTATTATATTGGCGTTGATAGCAAATGCATCCAGCGATGATTTTAATGTCAAAGACTTAAGTCCTTTCTCTATGGTAACTAGCCATTTCACACAAAGTAAATAGATTTATATAACATAAACTGTTCTTCCATAAAATATTATTTTGTTAACTAACTTTTTTTTTTGAAATCTCAACGAACTTATCCAATTAATAACTGACTGCGTCCAGTTTTTGTAAACATTGATTTCTGAGAACATAAAATTATACCACAAAAAAAAGTTTTTATGTAGATTTATTATGTAAATTATTAATTTTACTATTTCATAAAAACGAAGTCTTATTTTAATTACAACTGAATATTTCATACATAAACACTGAACTCATGGCGCTATAGTTTAAGGATAGATTAACCTGAAATGGTTTATGTATGTAATATTTCTCCAAAATAGTTTTTAAGAATTACTAGAAAAATTACATCTAACTATTTTATTTTAGTTGTAAATAAACACTACTAAAAAAACACGTTGTAATCCAAAAAATAAATAACAAAATGACACTTAGAAATAAATCATCTATTAAATATATTATTTAATAATAAGTATAATTAAGATATTTTTTAAATTATTATATAAGATTAATTACAAGTTTACCACTTTTTTTATAAACATTTTTTTACTTAAAACTGCCATAACTTTTTAATTATTATTGGCAAAAAAACTTAGCAAACAAAAAATTCAGAATATAAAAAAAAATTTATTTAAGTAAAGAAAAACTTAACTACGAACAAAAATAATTCGCAACATTAAATTGAAATTTTTTTTAAACTGTATTTGATTTAAATTATATGAAAGTAAGTTTAAAATATTATAACATGGTTTATATTATCAAATTGTGAAAAAATCCAAATTTTTCCTATTTTTATTTATTTGAGGGCATATTGTTGATAACTAAATCACTATAACGACCTTATAATTTTTAGATAATCAACTTATTTTTTCTTAAAGAAATTCTCAGTTAAAAATATATTGAGATCATACAATATAGTATTTCAAAAAGGAAACATGTAAATTGTTACATTACATATAATATTTATATGGATAATATGCGGTTCATTTTAAGAATAACATTTTTTGCGGTCGTTTTCTCAAAGAAGTATTTAAAATGCCCACTAGGCCAACGTATTATTAACATTGATTTCAATTTTTTATTACTATAAACTTTAATTATTATAACACATTTTAAATGTATTAAATAAAAATAGTAATTTATGTACTACTATAAATCGATGAAAAAATAGTTTGAAATATTGTCCTCAAAATATTTAAAGTCGTGTGTACGTATTTACAGAATTTTTATGGATAAGTTTCTTTAGGTGGTAGGTGGGAAATGTGAGAAGTGAAAATAACAGTTTTTGGAGACGTTAGCTGAAAGAAAACAAATGATCCTCAAGACTAAGTTAATTTTCACGAACTCTTATTGAGCTTTACCGTAGTAATACGATTCGTACATCTGTTCAAGACGTCTAATCCACCCAAAGCGATTTTTAGGCAAAATTAACCTCGGAGGCTGTAAAATGGGATCCCTCGTTTATATTATAATTTTTTTCAGTATTACATAATTTCCCTCTGAAAAAGTCGGAGCTATGTATTTATTATGGTTATATGTCATACCAGAATCCACCTAAGTCTCCTCTATGATAATATCTACCCGTATATCTTGATCAGTTTCGAGTACTATAGAAGGATCGTACTCCCTATTCTCAGTCAAAACCGAGTTGGTGAGGAACATCAACACCATAAACCTTTTTAAAACACGGTTTGATACTTCAATCGCAGAATTATAATTATGTTGGATCATCTCGAAGTACTTTTTATGACTAACACTAGGTATTTTTAGAAAAAAATCCTTTTGCTGGAAAACAGTAAATAAACCACAAACACTAGTATTATATTGCCTATGATGACCTGAAAAAAATGACCTAAAAGTTATCAAGTAATAATCATGTTTATAATTTTATACCCTGAAAATAAAATACATCTGTAAAAATAGTGTTTCAAAATAATTAAGATTGGTTTCATAGAAGTTTTCATAAAAGTAAAATTATTGGATATAATCAGAAGATTTAAAAAATATTTTGTTCTGTATCTATAAATTTTTTAAAACATCAAAAGGATTTGCGGAACCCCACAAATGACTGATCAGTTTAATATATTAAGAGGTAGACCCGATGCACATATCATTTCATTTTTATTCATTTTATTCAAATTATTTACATATAATTTTTAATTTACTAACCTTTTTGTCTTTTATACATAGTATATGGATGATAATTGACATTATCCATCATTATGTTATTAAAAAATGTGTCAATGAAGTGTATTAAGAAAACTTTAAAAGGTTTTCATACAATTAGAAATATTTATAAAAAAATATTCATAGGGCGCACATTTTACAGCTAATAGTCAAGGAACTAACTAGAATTGTTTAGTTTACAATATTTTTGTTTATTTTCTCCAATTTTTTAAAAACATATTACTAGATAACATGATTAGCTTAATAATATATTTTTTTAATAGTTTTTATTAAATTTTAAATGTTAATTTGCTAGAAAACATTTTATATTTTATCATCATTAAAGAGCCCATTAATGTTTAAAACATTTTGTCATTTAATTAATTCAACTCAAACTTAATTCAAAGTTGAATATTTAAATGCTATTTACTTTATAATGCCATCTAATAGTGATACCTAAAAAGATGATAAAAACTTAAAATCTGGTAGCAATACTACTTGATATATTAAGACAAATTGGAAAAAGATCACTAATTAAAGTTTATTATTTTAATTATTATAAATTAATTAAAAAAAATTAATTGACATTTAACCCCTCCTGAGGTAAAATTTATTTTCTAATGGGGTATATAAACATACTCATTTTTTTACTTAATTTTGTAATCAATATTTCCGAATTTTTAACTTTATATATATTTATATGTACATTTTTTTTTAACTATACTTTATATTATAAAAGGTATAATTTTTAGAAAAATAATAATAGTTAAAATTTTAATACAACTTATATCAAAACATAAATACGAATTTATCTTATTTGCTATTAATATTTTATTTATTATAGCCACTTTCACTGATAGTTCAGTAACATTGAATCTGTACATATTTTTTTAATTATATTTTGCATATATGGTTTTTATACTCTTAACTAACTTAATACGCAGGCATTGACGATACAAGAACTAGAGGCGCGGGTGACTGTTATAGTGACAGTTTTTGTCCAATCAATTGCACTTGTGACGGTACAGTTGTAGATTGCTCAGGAAGATCATTAATTGAAATACCAAAAGATATACCGATTTATACAACCGAACTGTAAGTAAAATATTATTTTCGAAACATTTTAAATAATTAAAGACTGTATGTTTTAAGAAATTTAAGCTATTATACATTAACTATTTTTTTTAGAATTATCAATGACAACGAAATCGCAAAAATTAAGTCTGATGGACTTTTTGGTAGATTACCAAATCTTCAGAAATTAGAAATGAAAAGAAATCTCATTAGCAGTGTAGAAGCTAATGCTTTTGAAGGTGCCATTAAGCTGTACGAACTGTAAGTAATCATATTAAGTTTTCGTATTTATTTTTATTTTGGATAAAATACTAATTTTGGTTTAAATTTTTTAGTAATTTATCTGAGAATAAATTACGGCAAGTTCACAACAAAATGTTTATAGGTCTCCACAACTTAAAAATTTTGTAAGTATTAAACGCTTACAGTCAATAATAGTTCCAGTAAAAATAAATAATAAAAAAATGTATTTGTTATTTTCTAGAACTTTATTCAACAACGAAATAACTTGTGTTATGCCTGGTTCATTTGATTACTTGCCTGCACTCAGAACACTGTATGTTTTTTTAATATATAACTATAGTTAATAAAAATAATATATAAAAATTCATCTCTTATTTCCAGTAACTTACAAATGAATCCATTTAACTGTAATTGTCATCTGGCTTGGTTTGCGGAATGGTTGAAAAAACATGGGCTCACTGCCGCTAGTCCTCGGTGTGCAGGTCCACCTCGCGTCATGGACGTTCCAATTCATGATTTGCCATCGTATGAATTCAAGTGTACGGGTAAGTACTTTTTAATTATATAAAACAGTTTATAAGTAATGCACACTAACCCTTGGTCGATAACTTATTCAGGTGATAATGATCAAGGCTGTTTGGGAGATAATTACTGTCCACCCAAATGTACTTGTATTGGTACAGTTGTCCGTTGCACCAGAGCTAAGTTAACAGAAATACCTAAAAATATTCCGATTGAAACTTCAGAACTGTGAGTTATAAAAATTTAATAAAATTTATACTAATTAAATTGTTATTAAATTTACTTTAACTATTCTTTTGAAATGTTTAGATACTTAGACGTCAATGAAATCGTATCAATCAACGCTGATAGACTTAATCATCTAAAATCCCTTACCAGATTGTGAGTATCCCATTAATTTTTAAAATTAATAATTAAGGAAGTCTTATTAATGAAAATATTTTTATTTTTAGGGATTTAAGTAATAATCAACTAACCGTGTTGTCTAATCATACATTTTCACAATTATACAAACTTTCAACTCTGTAAGTGTTTATTATTAATATAAAATGTGTATCCAATAATAGTTATACCACATTAAAATACATATAATTTTTATAGACTGTTGGGATACAATAAACTTCAGTGTCTCGAAAAAAATGCTCTTTCTGGTTTAAAATCTTTACGAATTATGTAAGTTTTAAAATGTTAAATACTTTTTTTCTTAAATATCAACCAATATTATAATTGTTTATTACTTCTAGTTCTCTTCATGGAAACAATATATCATTAATACCCGATGGCACATTTTCTGGTCTCGATTCAATCACTCATTTGTAAGAGATTCTATGATTATTTTTTTAAGATTATCGCATTATATATTAATTTATATTATAGGGGAATCGGATCCAATCCTTTGTACTGTGATTGTGGTTTACAGTGGCTCGCAGAGTGGATCAAAAAAGACTTCATTGAATCTGGTATAGCCAGGTGCGCTGAACCAGTATCCATGAAAGATAAACTTTTATTATCTACTCCTGTATCAAACTTTGTTTGCAAAGGTTAGTAAAAAATATTTACGGAGATGAAAAATTACCTTTACATAACAAAAAAAAACACTTTTATTTCTATACAGAACCAATTAGCAAAGAAATTTTATCGAAGTGCAATGCATGTTTCACTAATCCATGTTCAAACGAAGGCTTTTGTGAACCATTGCCAGAAAGACAGTATACGTGCAGGTGTAATCCCGGCTATCACGGAAAACATTGTGAACACATGATTGATGCTTGTTATGGAAATCCATGTAGAAATTTAGGTTCTTGTAAACTTCTTGAAGAAGGCAGATTTAGGTATAGATAATATTTCTAAAATTATTTATATTATACAATTTCTAATAATATTATCGTTTCAGTTGTCAATGTACACCTGGATTTACTGGTGATCGTTGTGAGACTAACCTTGATGATTGTCTGACTAACAAGTGCGAAAACAATTCCACTTGCGTTGATCTCATACAAGCGTATGAATGTCGTTGTCAACCAGGATATACAGGTATCAATTTATCTTTAATTATATATGAATATCAAATAAGTATTTTACATTTTCTATACATTCAGGTGATTATTGTCAAACGAAAATACAGTTTTGTTCGAAAGATTTCAATCCTTGTCATAACGGTGCCAAATGTGTTGACCACACTACTCATTACTCGTGCGAATGTCCCCTTGGATTTTCAGGTGACAACTGTACCATAAATAACGACGATTGTCAAAATCACATGTGTCAAGTAAATATCAACTCAATGAGAAATACATTTAATAACTAAATATACTTGTGTATATATATATACTTATATGTATATAATATTATATGTATACTCAATTTTAGAATGGAGGTTTGTGTATTGATGGCATCAATGATTATATATGCAAGTGTGTTGGTGATTATGCTGGCAAATTTTGTGACATTGCTCCTATGGTAGCACTCATGTACCCACAGACATCGCCTTGTCAACACCATGAATGCAAAAACGGTATTTGTTACATTCCAAACGGTTCTACCAACGATTATTTATGCAAGTGTGCTCCTGGATATTCTGGTAAATTATAAAACAAATGAATCTATATATTAATAGTTTTTAACAGTAAATACATTAAATAATATATAATTTACAGGAAAACGATGCGAATATCTGACAAGCTTAAGTTTTGTGCATAATACTTCTTTCGTAGAACTTGAACCTTTGAGAACCAAACCTGAAGCTAACGTTACCGTAGTTTTTACAACTACTCAAGAAAATGGTATTTTAATGTATGATGGCCATTCTGAGCACTTGGCAGTTGAACTATTTAACGGACGCATCAGAGTTAGCTACGACGTAGGAAATTATCCAGTGTCTACAATGTATAGGTTAGTTAACTAAGCACAACTCCAATGTCATGGTATAATTAGGATTTCATATTTGAAAGATATAAATAAGAAAAATGTTCAATTCCCTACAAACAAACAAATTGTACTTTCGCTGTATAATTATTTTTGTTAAAAGGAGATATGACATCAATTTTTTTTTTATCGCTTTTTTACGCCTAATTAAGGTCATAGCGGCCGCCCTCAAAGCAGAAGGTTTCTTAATCATTGATACTTCGGGAAGAGTGGTTAGTCAGTCGACAGAGAGAAAGATGTTGTCTTTAATTACTGAATTGATCACTCGCTCGGCAAATTAAGCCGCCCGAGATAGTGCACATTAAGCACTGCCGCGTTACCAACTCGGTCATACCATCTCTCAAGGATATGACAACTGCAATGTTGCTACTACGTATTTGTTAAATTTTTATTAACTGGAATTATCCTTTATTTTTACAGTTTTGAAATGGTTGCCGATGGCAAGCAACATATGGTGGAACTATTAGCTATCAGAAAAAACTTCACACTTAGAGTAGACGGAGGTATAGCCCGATCTATTATTAATGAAGGATCAAGGGATTACCTGAGACTAACTTCACCACTTTACATTGGTGGTATACCAACTGATCCTGGAGCTGAAGCCTTCAACCATTTCCATCTTAGAAATTTGACTAGTTTCAATGGTAAGTACATAATATGACTAAAAAATATTTAATCTAGTAAAAATAATGAATTTTTTACAGGCTGTATGAAAGAGTTGTGGGTGAACCATAAACTTGTAGACTTTATGAATGCAGCCAGACAGCAAAAAGTCACTCCGGGGTGTTCACTTCTCCAAGATGAAGAGCAGATGGTAGAAGAGGAAGGTGTTAAACCAATCAGCCCCGAACCGGAACAAAGCCCATCTATGATTGACGAAGAACAAGTGGAGCCACAAGAAGGGAACATGGATGAAGAAGAAGAAGATGAGGATGAAGATGAAGACGAAGATCCATGTTTTAACAATCAGTGTCACAAAGATAGCAAATGTGAGCCAAAAGGTCTCAAGGACTATATTTGTAAATGCCAACCTGGTTGGTCAGGAAAATTCTGTACACAAGGTATGTGCGTTTTGTTTAAGTAATATTTTTTTTTATAAATACAAATTCTATTTATTTTTTTTTATTGTTTTTATGTTTGTATTTTAGAACCAACTTGTAAGAAAGTGGCAATTCGCGAATATTATACCGAAAATAACTGTAGGTCAAGAAAACCGCTTAAGATGGCAAAATGTGACGGAGGATGTGGGACTAGTTGTTGTAAAGCAAAAAAGACGAAGAAGCGCAAAGTGCGATTAATATGCAATGACGGCACTAGATATACCAAAGATATTGACATCATACGGAAGTGTGCGTGCGCTAAAAAATGCTATTGACTACCAGGCCCCTCCATAGATATGCCCCAACCCGTACCACACGTAATCGTACTACCTCACGTTGCTATTCACCATAATCACCAAACATTGTTGACTAAATTTAACTACTCAAAAACTGATAAGGGTCACGTCGAACAGCATAAATGGACAGATAATATATTGATGTACATGTTCTTTTACGCTGCCTTATCTGTATTGGTCGAATTACTCATTGTTGTTATATGGTTCGTCAGCGTATGTATATATCTTCTTCTGCCGTAATCCCTGCACCTTTTATAGTTTTATAATTGTTGTTATATCACTAGCCATTCATTTATTCCTAAGTTTTATTATTATTTCTAAGACTACCATACCTACTAAAATTTATTTTTTTATTTATATTTATTTTATATTACTATACTTGAAGTTTAAAAACCTTAATGACTAGAAAAGTATTACAAGACATTTGTAAACTAGTATTGTACTTTTAAGTATTACTTTATGAAAGCCATAAAAATTAAATACCCATTAATACACGTCAAAACTGTATTATTATAATTATTTAAGTAAATTTTATAAGAAAACGCAGTTTAGTTTTTTTTTTATGTAATATGTATTGGAGAAAGCCAAAAAAAAATTACCATATTTTTTCAATGTAAATATTTTACTATTATCTGGTGCAGCGGTTTCAATCAAGAAGACATGTATACAAGTGTAAGTACCGTGTGTGTATGATTCTGGAGCAAAAGGCACATTTCATTGTGCGGAGGGGCCTTTTCAGTGTTTTATTTTTATACGTCTTTTTTGTATAGTGTACAAGTGTAGAATTCGTTAAAAAAAATAATTAAAATCATAAAAAAAAATTATATATAGTATATTGTTTTGGTTGACAACTGGTTCTGATTTATGTAATGATAGAAAACTTTTTTCTTTTATAAAAGAACATACATGAGAAATATAAAATAACATTTATGTAAATAGAATATGTTTTGTATTGCTTTCATCGGTACACACAAGTACATGCTCTAAGAAACTAATTACGGCGTATACAATGTTATAACTATTATAATATTATTTATCTTAACTATACGAAATTCCAAAATTTAATTGAAGCATTTAAAACACATTACTTGGCTTGTAAATAAACATGCAGCTGTAACCTACAAGTTATATTTGGAATCAAATTACTTATTTTCATCTGCTCTAGAGACAGAAACATAAAACATTACACTTAAGTTATTAATCAATTTTTTTTTTTTTAATATCATCGATTTGTAATCTTACTTTATTTTGAGTAATCTATATGTCTATTAAGTCTAAGTTTTTTTTATAACATTTAATTTCAATTAAATATATTAATATTGTTTTTAATTATTATAAAATAGTTTTCGTTCATAATTGCCTGAATTATATTCATAATATATGTAATACATAGATTGGTTTAAAAGAAAAGTTAAATTTATAATTTATATATGTTAAAAACAAAATTATGTAAATAACAATATATTGTACTAGTAAAATTAATAATAAAATATATTATAATCAATTAAGATCTGATTCTATTCTTATGAACCTTGCATACAATCCTATTAATAAACAATCTAATAGCAGACTAATTCTAGTAAAACCCAATGAAGGCAATTTAACTGATTTCACTATATTTACTAATTAAATACTCAATACAGGAGTAAATATTCGTGTAATCAGACGAATTCGGCCATCGTCAAACTTGACAAAATGACAAAAGAAACTAATTTAAATACCAGTCTTGGACCGTCATCCTTATTAGGAGTCTAAAGTGTCAACACAACCCTTCAAATCTGTATTTACTAAGAATAATAAATTTGTTTGCAGATATATTCCTTACAATTAGTAAAATGACAATATTAAGCCATTTGATTTTATTTTGAATAATGTATCGCATTACAATAATGCTGAAAAGTTATAAATAATAAACAATATATAATATAAATTTTATATTATATATTCATAATATATCACAAAGATCTCTTAGATTTAAGTATATACTATGTAACCGCATTCTTTGCATTCCTCTTGGTCATTGAATAAAAGTACAAAAGAAAAATTGTAAATGAGTTTATATCGTTCAACAAGTAATTTTTTTTTCATATAATAATACAAATAAATAAATAATAATTAATAACTTCTTTTTAAGAGTATGTTTACACTTTAAACAACATTCATCAGCAGTATAAAATTATAAATAATTAAAAATAAATGTTCAATACAAAAATACTTAAGTATCCACGACAAAAGGTGAAAAATATTCAAAATAAGCATAAATCAAATTTATATAAAAATAATTATTTGAATAATTCACAAAATAGATTCAAAAAGTGAACATATTTAACAAATAATATTACTCTTTAACATACTTTGGTAAAAAATATAAATATTATTCAATATTAATTAACAATTAATAAATAAATGATTTGACTTTAAATATTTCCATGAGATCATTTAAGGAAATTTTTGAGGCTGCCACTTTATTAGTTCCATTAAATAAGTTTTCAGCAATTTCGAGTTTAGCATTTTGAAGAGCTTGAATAGACATTTCTATAGTATCTGTACATACAAATTTGTAGATATTAACTGGCTTCATTTGGCCTACTCTATATATACGATCACAAGCCTGAACTTCTAGTTGAGGATTCCAATGTATATCTACAAGAAACAGATGATTAGCAGCAACCAAGTTTAGGCCAACACCACCCGCAGTTAAAGAGAGTAACATGATCTATAAACACAAAAAGGATTAATTACTATTGTTTTTTTATTTAATAAAAACAAATACTAAACTTTTAATATAATTAAATTAGTGTAATATTAAATAATATAATAAAAACATTACTTTTGGTCCTGAATGAAGATTATTAAATTCATTCACCAATTTACTTCTTGCTTTTACTGGGACTGCTCCAGAATACATTACCATATTGACATTATATTTAGATAACTGATTTTCAATGAGATACAACATACTAGGCCACTGCGAAACAATAATTGCTTTGTCATCTGTATTTAAAACTTTATCTTGAACAAATTCACAAACAGCTTTTATCTATTTGAACAATAAAAAATAAATAATACAATATAAATAATTTATATACCAACTGGTGTTGTCTAATAAAAGAAAGGTCTAAACCACCTAAATCATATTTAAAAGATTATAAAATCTCTCCCAATAATAAATCTAGATAAAATATAATATCTAATTAATAAATGAAAATTAAAAAATATATCTCACAAAATGAGTTCGAGGTCAAATTCTTTTCTTAACCGCTATCAAAGTTATGAACTTTTTACCATATAAGTTTTGTTAAGATAACAATTAAAAAAAAATGTATTTTTCAAAAATTAAAAAAAAAACATTAGAGAATAATATTATTTCTATAACTATATCACATTTAAATTTTTGGTAAATTTATTCAAGTTTAATGAACTGAAAAAAGAATTTTATAATATGATAGACTAATAATAAAAAGCATTAATTTTCTCAATTAAAAAATCTTGGAAATAAAATTCATTCATATACACTGTATATGAAAAATTTAGTTTAAAACTTTTTATTTAATCAAATTGTTTTAAGCTTGAAAATAATTAATAGTGTTTGCTATTTTAACATAGCCCTAAGATAAAAATAACCCTTTTTAAACTTGGTCAAGATTGCATTAGATTTGATTACCAGTTATTATTTTTGACTAAATCCATTTTAAGTTATGTAGAATATTCTTTACATAAGGCATTAATTAGAGAAGACTAAGAAAACTAGTTTTTTCTTACTTTTGAACTTAGCCAAGATTCTTCAAATATTTTACTTTCATGAATTACATCAGACTTTTTATCAAAGAGTTTTTTTTCTTCATCAAGATTGAATTTACCTAAATCTTTTATATAACGATTTTCTATACCTTCATTTTTGATAAATTCTCTTTTATCAATTTTCTATATTATTTACACATGTAAAAATATTTTTACTATAATTTCAACTATAAATTAACAATTTAAATTTAAGTTTTAATAACTTACTCCTTTTATTAGGCATGGATGACAACATATTTGACGCAATCGTAATAATAATACTATAAAATGGTAAGTTTGAACAACTTCAATGTTTTTAAGCTGTTGAAACAATTTTTGAAGTTCTGGATGACCTTTAAAAACATTATCTTTTCCATGTTTTGCTTCTAAAACTAAACTTTATAATTTACTACTATCTATAATTTTTAGCTTCGATGCGAAGCGGAGAAGGTATTAATTTTACTGTGATGTTTTTTTTTTTTTTTTTTTTTTTGTTTGTTGCCACTTATTCTCAGCTCTCACTGGACCGATTTCTTTCAACAATACGTCAAAAATCACAAATCGTATCTAGTTGAAGACATTACCCTTAAAAATTGAAAAAAATTCCCTCGTTCCCCGCAAATGGGGGAAATATCCAAAAAAATTACAAATTTAAAAATCGCTAATTTTCGAAATTTTTTCACTTTTTTTTCTTAAAACTTCCATAACTTTTTGAAAAATCAACAAACCAACATAGTTTTTTTTTATACTAAAACCTTAGATATTTACCTTTCATTTGATATCATTTTTTTGAAAATCTATCACTTAACCTGCTCATTGGGGGGGATTAAAAATAGCAAATTTTTTAAAAAAATTAATTTTTTAACTTAATTTTTGAAAATGTTCCGGAAATACTGCGTCCTTTAAACATATATCAAATTAAAGCTTATTTTATGTACTATAAAATGAAAAAAAAAAATTTGTCCCGACACTTTTTCTTCTACATTTAAAAGGCTGCCGTAGTTAAAAAAACACTACTTTGTGTTATTAATTTTCGATTTTCGATTTTAAATTTTCAACTTAAAAATGCTATAACTTTTTGAAAAATGTATATATCAGCACAAATTTTTTTTTTCTAAATACATTATAAGTACATCTTTCATTTGACATACTTTTTATTAAAATTGGACAATTTCCCCTTATATAGGGGGCGTTCAAAACTTGAAATATTGTAAAAAACATAGATCGTTTTCAACTGAACTTTTGAAAATGTTCCAGAAATACTGTGTTCTTTAAACATATATCAAATTAAAGCTTATTTTATGTACTATAAAATGAAAAAAAAAATTTGTCCCGACAACCTATCTTCTATGTGCAAATGGCTACCATATTCAAAAATATGCTATTTTAACAAATTTTTTTTTTAAATTAAACACTATCTACAGATTTGCATCGAAGCGTTTTTTATGATAGTGATTTTAATCACTGTCAGATATCATCTATACTGGACCCAACTGTGACCCAACCCACGACCCCACTGTGCCGCCACCCCACTGTGCTACCGTTTATTTTTTTGTATGAAATAAAAAAATTATTAATTAATAAAAAAAATACAATATTTTGATTACAGGCATAATGTATAGGGCGATTCATTTATCGTTAACTATTAACAATAAATCAATCATTCTGCAATGTATAAGAAGTTTCATGACATAATAACATTTTATTACAAACAACATTTTAATTTTTTTTAGTTTCAAAGCTCGCATATCAAATCTAAAAATTCAGATAATACTCACCATCTAAATATTTTCTATTTTTATTAATGTGATAGTCATCATTATAAATAAAATTTTCACGTTTTGCTTTATCTGTTAAATATTTTTCAAATAATGTACTAAAAATTTAAAAACTATATAAATTCTCTTTAACTAAATTTCAATAATTATTTAAATTGAAACTGAAACTTACCTAGAGAACTGCAATAACTGTTCATAAACTTCTTTTTCTTCTTTACATAATTTTACAGGCACAACATGAAAACTTTTACATGGTATTCTAAATGAAGTAAGCTTAGCAAGCTCAATTTTAGTACGCCTTAACATTAACACATTAGCTAACAAAGATAATCTATGCTTACCAGCTTCATCATTATTATCAACCCAACGTTTCCAAATCTAAAATAAAAACTAATTACTATCATAATTTATGACATTAAAAATGTATCTATTTATTAAATATAAATGTATAAAATAGTTATCCTTCATACTTTTCTCAATTTTCACATTTGAAATTAATAATTAAATACATTAATCACCCTTGATGATTTTTCATAGTTACTTTATTTAAAGATTTTAAATAATTATATATGCAGTGTTCAGTAAGCATGAAAACAGGTTAGTTGTTAATAATAATAAGAACAATAGAAATCTGTTTCCTTATTCACTGAACATCAATATATATATATATATATTATATAATATATAATGTTATGTCAATTTATTGATTAATAATTATTGTTTAATCCATCCATTATACCTTATGAGGCTGTCAACTTTAATTTTATAAGCTAAGTAATATATATATTGACATTTATAAAAATTGAATCCCTTAAGGGATACAAGGAATGAATTAAAAAAATTCTTAATAATTTATAAATCAATTTCATAAATTAAAAAGTTCCAAAAATAAGTTTCTTGAGTTTACTGACATTCCAGTCATCAAAAGGATGGCAGCCAATGAATTTCAATAAAGTAAAGAAATCAGCTTCTTTATTATGTATAGGTGTTCCAGTAATTGCCCATCTATAAATACTAGACAAACTACAAACAGAAAAAGATGTTTGACTTTTATAATTCCTTATAACATGTGCTTCATCTAGTATAATACGTTTCCACTTAATTTTGAACAGGGGACTCTGAAAAAAAAGTAAAATGTCAATTTTTTTTTTCGAATATATACTTTTATAATACAGACATAATCCTTGATTTTGTAATCCCACATAACTTTTTGATAAGATGTAATTACAATATCTTTTTCTAAGAGATTCTTCTCTGTCAAGTTTTTATTTGATCCATAATATTGGATAATGTTTAATGTATTAGTCTTCAATTTAGTTAAAACTTCAAACTCCCATTGGTTAATTAATGATGCTGGACAAACAATTAATGTCCCTCCATTTACCACTACTAAAATATGGATACTTATTCTGAGATTCATTTAAAAGTAAAAATATAAACTGTAAGTTTCAGAAAATAAAGTGTATTTAAATTACTAAAGTAAAATACATATTTTATATTTCTAAGATGGAAAAATTGGAATTTATGGTACTGAAGAACTTTTTTTTTTTACACACTCTAGACACTAGGGTGCACCACCCGAAATTCTTGCGACATATTACGATATGAAAAGTTTTTTTTTTCAATTCACAATCATATCATAGCGATCTGCGTGTGCCAAAGAAGCACCAAAAATACAAAAATCCGAGATCCGACCAAAACTCTTGGCGCTACAAGCATTTGAAATTAATCAAATTTTAATGAAAAATAACAATTTTTCTGTATATCAATAATATTTGTACACATCCAAGTCCACACGCAATGTTTTTCATGAGCATCTACTCATTTTTGCGCATATGATTATTGTAAACCTTAATTTGTAAAGTATGTATTTTTATAACGATTTAATTTTCTTTTCAGTTCATAATTAATATACGATGTTATTAATTGATTGTATTAGTTACTATCTTTTTTTTTGATGTTTTTTATTTATATGTATTATGTTGAGTTTATTAAGCATACTTTTATTGAGATACTTTCTGTAGATTTCTTTTAAATATGTTTAAATAAATAAATTTATTGATATTAATCATGTATATCGTTATACATATCTGTTGTATATATAACTTGTTTTATAGTGAGCTTACTGTTCAATTGTACTATTTTAGATTTGAACTTTTTTTTTATCCTCACGCAGAGTTTATATTAGGACACTATTTTGCATTTAGGCGTAGCACTATATTTTATGAAGGAATGTTATGTTATGTTATAAATAAATTTCAAGACAGTTATAATTATATAAATTTGTACATCCATTATCAGAACAGTTAAGTATTAATAATTTTATTTTTGTCATATATGATGTATGAGTATGAGTTTATCGTAAAAACTGTGATCCATCTATGATAACTATGCTATCCAACGTAAAATATTAAATACCCTCCTAAAATAATTTCTAAATATGTCTAAGAGAAATATACCTCATTAACAAACGTCAACCTTATACCCAATACTTTTTACTATACTCTTTTTGAATTTTCCTAATTTTAATATATTTTTGTTACACCGATTCTGATGTAATATTTTTTCTGCAAAACACTTATCGTGCTTGGCGTAGCTGGGTACTCCTACCGGAATCAGTGGCCTACTTATGATGAAGGCCTCAAGAGGCTTACCTGCCAAAGTCGCGTAAGACTCGTAGGGCCCCGGGTCTGGGATGGAACCCCAGCTTGGTGAAGCCTAGTTTCTATATATTTTTTAAGTAAGGGAAAATAAATTCTAGTATACCCATTACTATTTTACAATTTTATAAGACATATTTTAAAAAATATAATTAATTTATGTTTTACATTATTAAAGATATTAAAGATATTTTTAACTGATACTTTTATATAAGAATTTATATTTTAAATTATTTAGATATAATATTGGCTTTAAATAATATTCTGAAATATCATTAACTCACATTTATTTCTATCTATGTCATTAGAAACACTTTGATAATTTCTTCCAGGGTTAGTTTTGGAATCTTTCAAAATCAATGAAATCATTGTCAACGTTTTACCTAATCCCATATCATCAGCTTAAAAATTAAAGTTTGATTAGTATTAAAAAAGTAAAAGATAATAAAGTTATTTTATTTTTTAAGATAAAGATATGTGGAAGTAAGCTATTATTAAAGTTGAAAATACAAAATATAAAATCAAAAATGTTAACAAAACTATAATATTTTAAGAAGTTTATACCTAAGTTGTAAATATGAAAACACAAACCTAATATTCCACCATGTGGTATTTGACTTTCTCTCCACATTAGCCAAGCAATGGCATGTTTTTGATGTTCCATGAGAGGTAAATTTAAACCTTGAGGATCATCTAAAAATATGTCTGCAGTTGGACGACTTTCCAAAGACTTATGTAGCATTTCCAAAACATCAAATATTAATATTTGTTGTGCATGGTAGGTGCTAAGAGCTAAATATATATATATTTATAACATTTCCTTTTTAATACTTAAACGTTAGTATGAAATATACCTTTATCACCCATTGCATTTAAATTTATATTAGATGCTGCCTTTTTTCCTAAAACTTTATTGACATTTAATGATTCTGAAACAACTAGAGGAATATCAGGGCAAACAATTTTCTTTTCTTCAGTATCCTCTTCATCAGATAAACCTAACACATGATTTAAAAACATAAATGAACAAATTTAATTTTGAATTCATTTAAATAAGTACTAATATTTAAGGAATTGGCCTAGCCTAGGGGTAGAAACATATGTTTCAATGCATGGAGTCTAGTGTTCAATTCCCAGGGTGCCAACAAGATTTTTCTTGTGATTATTTCATTGGTGGTATCGGGTTTGGTGCAAGCCCATCATAATACCTGTTCCATCCATCATAGCCCTAGCCAAGAACTATCTTTGATTCCCTAACTTGTAAAAGAGTGCCACTACCCTCTGTATCATGTTAAGTTCAGTAATTAGAAGGATGTAAAACCGATCATTTTTTCTATTTAAAGAACTAATATTTACCTTTTATTTTAATATCATGAAGGTTATTTAATTCGGTTGTACTTAAATTCATAATATTTAATTTATTACTGCCATTAGACAAATAACTTCTATTTTTTTTTTTTTCATCGGAATCCATTTTAGAAGAAAGTACTTTACTTAGAAACTCTTTAATCTTGGGATTTGAATTTTCATTATTAATACTCTTGGATCTTTTCTGATTAAAAAAAAGATATACAATCAAATAGTTAGTAAAATATAATTAAAAAGGATATATTTTTTAAACAATTCTTGAGTAAAATCAAAACATGTCAGTTTCAAATAAAGTTAAAGATTACAATTCTTTACAAGTATCTAAAATTAAATTAAGATTCAAGATTTCAAGCAAGTATTATTATTTACCCCAAATTTACTAGTTCTATCAGTAATTGAATGGTAAGACGAGTTATTTCCAGAACAATATGATTTATCAACACTTTTAGATGACATAATACTAGAGTTGATGGATTTAGATAGCTCACTAGAAGAAAGACTGAAAAAAATATATAGAATCATGATAAATAAGTTAACTAAGTTAAGATATATCATAAGTTTAAGTTGCAAAAAAAATTGTTTTAGAGGAGAGTCTTTACTAAAATATTTTAGATACAGACACCACATGGCTTGTGTAGAAATTTCAACTTCAATAAATTAAAAAAATTGAGTTGTCTTTTATCAAAATATAATTGACTAAATTCCATATTAATATTCAATTCTAGTTTGTAAGTAATAATTTTTATTTTTTTTATTTATATACATTTATACATTATATATTAAACTGCTGGTAAATTTCAGTTATTTCACTCAAAAATAGATGAATGAAATCAGTAAAATACTGATTTTTTATTTATACTATTAATATAATTTGATTTTAACATATTAAGATAAAATTTTCTAGAAGCCAGCCAATTAAAAAAAATTAGTTATCTTAATTTTTGTTAAATGGAATAATTTAACTGAAAATTTTCCAAGAAATCTCTTTTTGATTTTTATGAAAAGTCGATGTAATACACTCTGGAAAAATCCTAATTTTTATCATAATTTCAAAAAAATCAATTTTTAAGGTACTTGGAGAGTGTTGCTTTACAGAGAGCAACTAAAGTACATGATCCTAGTAAATTTTAATCTTAATAAGATAAAATAAATAAATAGTTATTTAAAGATTTAAAGAATATCAGAAATAACATATTAATAAAAAAAATGTAGGATAGATGAAGACGACAAAATAGAATTAAAGGTGAAAACCAGAGTGACTAAATGGTAAGCACCAGTACTTATGAGTTTCATGAAAACTTTGCCCATAACTGAATTAAATTAAATATCAATAAATAATCATATAATTTTCCTTAATAAGCGAATATTAATCAAAAAATTAATTAGTAGTAATTCCTTGCTTGCGTATAACACCATATTTTGGACTATTATTTGTAAGTCACAATTTATACTAACTCATTATCGGAATTTGTTTTCATACTACAATTAATAAAATGTTTGATTCTATAATCATTCTCGTCCTCATCAGATTCTTCATCAATACTACTTAGTTCACAATTTATCAATGATTCTTGATCATCATTAATATTCTTGAATAAGCAGCTAGAACTGAATGAAAATTTCTCAATAATAATAGAATAAAAAATTGCTAAAGAAAAATTTAATACCAAATTCTTAATCAGCTTTATATTAAAGTTCAATCTTTATGAAACTAAAATAACATTTATTATTTTTTAATTAAAATTATTCATTTTTGTGGAAATAACATTTTTTAATGTAAATTTGTATTATTTTTAATGAAATTTTTAATAATTTTGTACACAAGGGTTTTTATTAAGTTATAATATGAAGAATTGATCCCTTCAAAATATAAATAAACACAAATGGAAGAAATAGTTATTTCATTACATCTCAAAATGATGGCTCATGATTGGACTCCCAAACAAACTGTTTAAGTTTTCCTAGTCACCTTGCAAACTAAAAATTTAGTATATAATGAATTTTTACCTTAGAACACATGTGGATTTCAACCTTGGTTTATAAGCTTGACATTTAGCTACTTTTTGAGGAGTTGAACTGCCAAGCAATCCAATTGTTTTATTTTTTATTAATACACTGTTACATTCATTGAATGTTTCATCATTATGAACTTTAACACTATTTAATCCATTACTAGTATCGCTTTGTTCATAAGAACTATTTAATATATCATTTAAAAATATACTGCTTGCAATATCTTTTGTATCTTCTATGTTTACACCATATTTAACTAAATCATTTTTTGATGGCCTAAATACAACTGAATCATCATCTGATGAAGAAGACATATCCAAATCCATATGATTATTTTCTGCCTAGAATTCATTAAATTAATATATTATATAAATAGAATATTGTATTGAAATGTATTTTTAACATGTTAAGTACTTTAATAACTAGTAAATATATTATTCATAAAACTTATTCTATCTTCTTTTATATCAATACAGTAAATTCTTTAACTGCTTTTACAAAATTTAAAATTACACCAAAGTAATTTAGTTAGAGTTGTCAAAAAGTGATGTAATTATCAAACATGCATTACACATAGCATATTGTCATTAATGGAAAAAAGTGGAAATCTTTCATTTTATAAATGACATAAAAAACTAATTTTTATATTAACTAAAACTTTATTTATCATTTATAATTCATCATCAATTAAATATATCATAGAATTTTTTTCCAAATGAATGGATAATTTCATGAAAAATCACAATTAATTTCTAGTTGAACCATTATGGTCAGAAATTGAAAAATTTGCTCTCGTTCCCCGTAAATGGTGAAAATTTCTCAAAAAATTAAGATTTTTTAAATCGGTAAATTTCAACATTTTTTCAATTTATTTATTTTTCTAAAAATTGCCATAACTTATTGAAAAATGTACAAATCAAAATAATTCTTTATCATATTGAAACCATAGATATTTCTCTTTAATTTGATATAAATTTTTTGAAAAATCTGACTCTTTACTTGTTCACAGGGGGGATTTAAAATAACAATTTTTCCACACAAATTATACTTTTTCAAATTAATTTTTGAATATGTTCCTGGAAATAGTGACACTTATATTTAATCATAAATTAAAGCTTATGTAATGTACACTTTACTACAAAAAAAAAATTTTGAGATATATGAAAATGGTTATCATATTCAAAAATATACTATTTTTGTGTTAAAATTCTTGGTATTGTATATTAATTTATTATATAAATCTAATTGACATAGAATGTTAAGTTAAACTTATTTCAATTTTTTTTTTCTTTTAAGTCAAAATAAGTTATTTTAACATTTGAATCTATTTAAATTTCCAATTTTATCAAATGACGAATGCGACAAGTATTTGCCTATTTAGTAAAAATAAGTGCTGTGGCAATGATTTTTTTGCAATTTTTCCTTATTTCTTTTTAAGTTAGAAAAAATTTTCAACTAATTTTCTTTTATGTTATACTCGTTTTGAACTAGTTAGTAATAATAACAAAAATTAGTGGTGATGGAAAAAATATAATTGGAACTAAGAATAGTGTAAAAAATTGCTCAAGATAAGTAAATTTTTGACTCAGTTGAAAATTCCTTGTAGACTATTTATTCATAATTAACAACAAATTATCTACTGAAAAGTTTTGTATCTGGTCTTTCAATTTTTATACACATTTGCCATAAAAGTAATAACTACTTTATAATTTGTTAGTATTTCTCCATAAATATTACAATAGTAAATTATTAAATATCAATTTCATACTACGTTGAATTGATTTAATAGATATTTAATCATATATTATACTTAGAAATCATAGACTACTAAGTAGTAACAATGAAGGAAATAGAAGTTAATTTTGCTTTTGAATAATCCACCAATTTCCTAAAATTTAACACTATCTACATATTTGCATCAAAGCATTTCTTATGATAGTGATTTTAATCACTGTATACTATATATAATCATCTATACTCGTCCCAACTATGCCACACTCACTCTGTGCCGCGACCTCACTATGCTACAGTTATAATACATATTAACATATTAGATTTAATATGACAATACAAAATTGAACTAATACTAACATTTTGAAATAATTTTTTTAATAAAAAAAAAAAAATTAACTAATAAAAAATAACTAAAAGTCAAACTTAAATAAATTTAATGATACTTGAAAAAAATTAAGTTCTAAAATTTCAAAAAAAGTTTGTCATAAAAAAAATCATTTGGTACAATTATCTGAATAAAATAGTTAAAATGTTATATACTTATAATATATATATATATATATATATAACATCTATATTGATAAGTATAGCCATTGTATGACAAATTATTTCACCTAAACTAAGTGTTTTTTTTTATTATATAATTTTTCTGAAGTATCGCTAGTTTAATCAAAATAAATTCTAATAAAAATTTAAAAATTTGAACTTTTTATAAATTCTGAGTTATTAAATATTACTACAAAAATATAGTGAAAGATGATATCTTTATAATACTTTTTAATAAGATTTAATCATATAATGTTCTTATAAAAGTACTTTATAACTATCTACAGAACTCTAAGTACCATTTACACTTATGATAAAATGGTTTTCGATATTAAATATAATTGCCAACTGTACTGTTGTATTGCTACTTACAAGAGGATGTGTAACTAATAATGTGCTGAAATTAATAAATAAAAAAAAACATTACTTTCTTGAATTAAATATTAAATAAATTGAAGTTATTTATCACCTTTCTGAATCGTTTTTATGTTGATTAAATATTGGTTGGGTTAAATCTATTATATCACACATTATTTGAGATTTGCAAAATGTAGATTGATTATGAAAACTCTTAGCACTTGTATCAGGTTTTGTACATTCAACATTATATTCTTCATGAAAATTTGTAATAACATTGGAAATGGTAGAATTATTAGATAAATAGTCCGGTCTATACAAAAAATTTTTCTTTAAAAATTTACATTTTATAAATAATTTTAAAATTCATACATTTGCTGTGATCCGAAATAAAAACCCGAAATAAAAGCATCATTTATTTTCATTTTATTTTTATAACTTTGATCTGATGCTTCATTTATACTCTTATAAGTTCTATTTAAATTAGTTTGCACATCAAATACATCATCTGATCTAAAAATAGTAAAAATATTATGCATTAATAAATCAGATAATGTATATACATATGATAATTTACGGATAATCATATAATTTGGTTTCATCATGCGAATCTATTTTATTATTGTCTATGTCCATATGTAATTCACAATTGTATTCCAAATCATAGTTTAAATCACATTTAGCTGTAGATAAATCCTGAGAACTATTACTACATTGACTTCTAAAATATGGAAATCATTAAATATTTTATTTGAAGTAAATTATAAAATAAAAATATTTACAAATATTTTGTAGATATATTGGACTCATTAAATTGCTTCTCATTGAAGTTTTTTTTGGTGAACTCATAATCTTCATTTAACAATTTTACCCTAAAATAATGATAAAATTGATTTTTTTTTTAAAAAAAACATTATAATTAAAACAGATCATTATAAAAATATCTTACGATGGTGTCCCAAAATAAAAATCTGTTGGAGAAAAAAATGATAGACTTGTTTTATTTACCAAATTAAGATGACACCTAAAATCATAATTTAAAAAATAGTAATAAAATATTAGTTGATAATTCAAAACATTATAATTCTGTAAATGTACTAACAGTATATAACTAAAAATATATTTATTTAAATAAATAATTACTAACTGATGAAGATTACTATTTGAATTATATTCTATAACATGATTGGAAATATTAGAACTATATAAATCTTCCCGAAACATAATGGGACTTGCATTAAAATCATCTCCCATAGAATCATGAAATCTAATATAATCATCCAAACAAAGTTTTAGCATAAGTTTTTTAAAATTATACAATAAATGGAACTTACAAACTATAATCACTTTTGAATAATTTTGATAGATTGAATTTAGAAAATACATTATAGGATTTAACATTAGATTCCATATCACATTCATGAGTAGAATTGAATAAATTATGTTTTAATTGTATAGGAGATATATCTAAACTATTTTCCTTATCAGATCTAAAAAAAAGTTGACAAATAGTTACTAAAAATATTCTTACCAATAAACATTAAAAATAAATTCTGGTGTTAAATTAAGTGTAATAATGTAATAATTTTTAATTCTGCCATTAATAAAAATAAGATATTTTTTTAAATATTATATTTAATACTGAATTCTTTCCTTGCCTTTAATCTAAATACTTGGGGTCGGCTACCTTTATCCTCAATTTCCACTTGACACAATCTCCCACATCATCTACACACACACATTATATCATATTTAATAACATCCTCCATCTCTTTTTTGTTCTTCCTCTACCTCTTCTTCCCTCAACATTAATTTCTATAACTGTTCTCTTGCAGCTTAAGATTCCTCTCTCCTAATAAAATAACCAAACCATCGTAGTCTATTTTCTCTCATCTTATCCACAATTAACACTACACCTATACTCCCTTTTATATGTTCATTCCTTATCCTATCTTCTCTAGTCACTCTACTCATCCATCTAAGCATTCTTATCTCTGCTACACTCATTCTCTGCTCTATTCTCTTGTCAACTGTTCAACACTCTAAACCATACATCATGTCATATAGAACTTACCATTCAACTTCATTAGAATTCTCCATCGCCTAACACATCAAACACTTATCTCCACTTCACCCACCCTCACTTAATCCTGTGTCTTACATCCTTGAAAAATCTTATTGGCACCCTGGGAATTGAACACTAGAACTCCATCCATTAAAACATGTTTCTACCCCTAGGCCAGGCCAATTCCTTAAGTACCATCATATATATCCTCTATTAAATTATTGTACCTATCATATTAAATATCAATTATATTATTACGACTCCTTTCTCATTAATACTAACTATAATACCTCGCATGGTACTCTATTACATACTTTTAGTGCTCATGGTGCTTTATTATATGCAACCAAATCTATAAATACCATACACAGATTTTTCTTTTTTTACCTAAACTTTTCTTTTAGTTGTCTCACACAAAAATTATTTTAAAAAATATTTAATACTGAAATGTTCTTCTAAATTCAACTTAAATAACAATATTTGCAGAATTTTTATTTAAACAATATTCTATTTGACCAGCAGTTTTAAAATTTATAAAAATCAATATTATTACTACATATTTATGTAATTTCTAGTGTTATATCTATAATTATAGCACTCTTAGGTTAAATTAATTTTTTGTGTAGTCTTCACAATTGGTCTATGCATAAATACAACACTAGTAATTAATATTTCATAAAGAGTAAATTGTTAAACAACACATTAATGTTAAGTAAAATAATGTTTGAACAATCCTTATTCAACTTACTGATTCTTCAATGTTGCATCATGTAATGATACATCAATCTTAGCATATTCAGTTTTAGCTTCTTTAATATTATAATTATGATCTTTATTTACAGAACTCAAGAGGTTTAGGTTTTTCTCATTATTACTTCTGTTACAATAAAAAATTGAATATTATTATTACATCAAATCTAAAGTTTTAATCATGCACAAATACTCACTTTGATTTAAAATCATTATCATTCTTTTGAATACATAACATGTAATTATTTTCAACTGCAACAATGATATCATCTATTATATCCTTTATTACGTCATTGACATTTTCTTTATCTTCAATATAAAAACTGTCATATGTACTAAAAATTGATTAATACAAAGAATGAAAATCAATATTTTTTATATAAATTAATATTAATATAAATGTATAACAGTGTAATAACAAAAAAGATGTAAACATAATTTATTGTAAATTAGAGATAGAAACATGTGCTTCAAATCAAAATAGATATTTAAAATTCAAAATCAATTATATTGTTAATAAGTCTTTTAAAGTAGCATAATTTAATAAAATTGTTGTTATTACCTACGATAATAAATAAAAAGTACAATTTTATTTTATTAAAGGTTTTTATTTAAGTGTTTACTTTCCCATCACTGTTACTAATCATTTCAACTTTAAGTGATGATGTTATGGAGGTGATTCTTTTATCATAAAACAATTAATTAATCAAAAAATAAAAATAATACTAAGAATTTATCTTTGATATTTCTTTTAATTCCATGTTTTTCACAATTTATCAAACATGACACATTTTTTATGTTCATTTGTTATACTTTATAAGGGTTTCAAATTTATTTATTCAAATAGCAATATACATAATAAAAATCACTTGTGGCTATTACTCTAAATATATTTTATTTATTTTAAATACATAATTAACTAGTTTGTTTTTAGATAATTACCTAATTAAGAGAATGACTAACCGATAACAATTTTTGAACCAGGATTTAGGAATGTATGATGTTAAATTTAAAAGTTAACATTTTTGTACCTATAAGAAGTGTAGTATGTTACCATTAAAAAAATAAAGTAGACGCCTTTATTAAGTATAAGAAATGAACATGAAAAATACTTCATAGTTGATAAATAGAGAAAAGCAAGAAACTAAAAACAATTCTCATTATTATTATTTTTCAAATAATTAAAATTTTACAAGTTTCTTCAACAAGATAAAATTTTTTTTTTTATAAAACTTAAAATAATAACTATAGCATAACTCTTATTTATGGGTCAAGTTATTTAGCTTAAAGTGGTAATATTTGAAGAGGTATTCAGGTTTAATTTAATTTTTGAGAATCTTATTTAAAGTAAATTTTAAAATCTTAATTAAAATAGATATTTCTTCAATTACAAGGAAGTATATTGTCAACACATTAACTAGAACAAAATCTTAAACAAGCTATATATTATAATTATCTAACGTTAAAATAAATTTTAAATGATATTACCTGTCAAATATAATTGATTGATTGTAACTACCAAAATCACAATTTTTTTCTTGAATATAGCTAGCATTATTTAATGATATTTGATTAAATCTATCAATCTATTATGAATTATAAAAAGTACATATTATGAAAACTCAGATAAATTTATGCATAAAAAAGTATAATAAATGTAGTAATTTAATGAGAATTTCTAAATCCAAAACTAGATTCACAAAGTAAAATACTTTAAACTTAGTTTAATTCTATCAAATAATAAACTAATATTTTTAATAAAACTAGTAATCAAGAAAAAATTCAAAAAATCATATTTTTCTCAGTTAACCTTGATTAATTGTACTAAAGTAGTTAATTGATTAGAATTGTCTTTAATAAGTTATAGTTAAAAATCTTTAAGTCTCTTACTTCAGTGTAATTAAACAATGCAGACCTTTTTCTTTTGAAATTATTATTTTTTCCATCAACCTAAAATAGGATAATTAATAAATATGAAGTAGTATTTATATCAACAAAGATTTTTTGTTTTATTACATACGTTTGAACATTTGGAATTATTTGTAAAAGAATCATTCTCTTCCATCATAATATAAGAAAAACAAAGAATGCTTTAAAATAATTTCTTTATGCTTAAATTAATATCTTATGAAACATCCAATTTCAAAAATATATTATCTGCATTTGCTAAAAAACTAAATTTCAATATTAATGAAACAGTTTAAAAATTAAGTCTAAAAATAAGGTGCACACAATAGCAGCATAAGTTGTTTTGTTTATCCATAATATTAAGACTTAGTTATACAAAAATTATTATAAAGAAAAAGCCCTATTTAAGGTAAATAAACACATAACTAAGTGACATTTGATAATAAAAATAATTGTTCATTTTATTGTTTTAAAATTAATTTCTATTGCAAATTGGTAAAAACTTCACCTTGATTCACATCAAAATATTTCTGCCTTTGATTATTTAAGTAGAATTTAATTTCTTCAAAGTCAATTTTATTCATAACATTTGTGTGCTATATTTTACCGATATATTTTTGTTCTTAACCAATTTGTTGAGTTTTTTTACTTAAAAGGAATAACTTATTATTTTATTAATAGATAAAAAAAAATATGCTATTCATAAAATATAAAAATGCAGTAATCTTTTTTTTGGATAATGATTTAATTTAAAAAAAAAAATAACTAGTCGATAACAACTTTTGGATATAGCTGTAGGAGAAAAGTAGGTTCTGCTATTTTATAACTAAACATTTCCTGACCTTACAGTTCCTCTACTCAATATAAATATGTCAATAACTTCCAAAATACTAATAAAAAAGTTGTTATCGACCAATCAGTTTCTTAATTAAATCATTATTAAATAAACTAATTGATTAGGGGTGTCGCCATTTGAAATATTAAAATTGACACTTGTAAGGTATAAGGAATGAACATAAAAAAAACTTAATGATTGAAAAACTGAAAGAGACATTTAACTAAAAAAAACAAGTAAAAAAAAATTATTACATTATTTATATTTTTCAATTTATTAAGTAGTTCATGGTACATTAATCTCTCAGTATTTATATTGAAATAATAATATGAATTAGTTTTTAAAATATTACTTAAAAATTTTAAAAGAAATATATAAGACCCGCTCTACACACAATAAATAATATCAATTTTTTTTCTTTCTCGTGTTATAAACGTAAATTCTATATAAAAAAAAATTTCCTATTAAGATTTAATAATATGAATAACTTATTTAACTATCTAATAAATTAAACCTTTTCAATACTTACAGGACATAAAAATTGTTGTTTTCTATACAGAATAATATACATTGCAATTGAACATAAACAATAAAGAGCTCACCTAATAAACTGACCGACTCAATTGTCACTTCTAAAAACTAGCGGAAGAATAAAATTACTTATTGTTGATAACAAAACTATGTAATAAAACTGCTTAATATAAAACATTGCTATTTCTGAGAATAAAAAATGAGGACAAAAGTTTATTTTTAAACTCGACCAACTGAAAAACATTGATAATCATATGTAAAAAAAAAAAATATTATGTCACGTGTAGAACTGGTTTTTGCATGTTAAGATAAAACACAGTACCCTCCATTTACCACACTTAAATGGACTCGCTTGTGCAAGTTTGATACTCATCACGCCTAAAATAAAATTTTGCCTATATGACAACAGCAAAATAAAAAGATCATTGCAGGCGGCATAATTTTAATTATGCTCCTGCATTACAAAATGATAAAAACAGAATGTTTTTAAAAAAAAAACTATAAATAATTTATATAACATGGTAGTTTTATTGTATAATTGATCAATTATGTTCGTCTTATCTTATACATTTATAAGGATTTAATAAACCTGTAAAAATACAATTTTTTTTTTTTATATAATTTAATATTCAAAAAGCTTAGTGGGTCTCACTGAGAAACCGTTATATGGTTATTTACATAGTAAATCTTTATAAAAAAAAGATTAAAAATTTAGAATTTGAAAGTAATTTAAAAATATATTAATACATTAATCCTTAATTAGGTTTTAGTATTATAATCATACCTTAGCCAGTGTTTTGTTTTTTATAAAGCTCAAAGCTATACTACTTATGTAAGTGTGCATTAAATTAAAAAGGTTAACTCATATGCGTTATGATAAACTGTTTTATTAAATTTATGGTATTACTATTTTCCTAATATCCGGTGTTAATTCCACGATTTAGGAGAAATAATAGATTTTTTTTACAATTATTTTGCATGTTTTGAAATAGAGGTTTTTTACATCCAACACAATAAAGTTTTTAAATAACTTGTTGGACGGGCTATTTGCATCTTTATTAAAATCGTTTTAATCGTTATGTTATGACAAGTTTGTAGTGAAAAAAGAGCGTTTTAATAAGCTCTACTCCATCCAACATATCGTAAGTTTTAAGATACACATTGAAATTTCCTTTACAAATTACAACACATTTAGATCCCTAGATATTTACAATATTTATAGCGTATAGAGCATAATGTTTGGTATAAAAGTGAGTGAAGTATAATGAAGGGTTTTTTAAAATTTAAATCTGCCATTAGAGCTCAGTCAACTATTTATTGTTTTCATATCAGATTCAATGTATTTAAATATTTCGCTCCATATGTTACTAGGGCAAATTAGAATTGTATTATCTGGGTAACATATTTTGAGGCTATTTAATTTTAGTGATTTTAAATCATTTAACTGATTGTTAAATGATTTAACATTGAGAGAGATAATGCAGAATCAATAATCTCCCCATAAGTTTCATTTAATTCAGAAATATTTGGTTTACAACGTATCAAATGATATATTTAATGCGCTCGATGAGGAAAAAAATGTTTGTTCAGTGAGTATGAAAACGGGTTTCTATTGTTTTCATTTTTTAACAATTGAGTTTTTTTCTTACTGAATATTTGTAGATTAAATATGGTTATTTTATTAACCCCTGGTGATGAACCATTTTTTTTTTAATTTGGGATAGCATTTTTAATTAACTTCTGACGTAATATTTTCAAAATTAATTAAATTAACATTCATTTGTTCATTTTAAATAATATTAATAGGTATTAAGATGTGAGCTTTTTATGTTCTTTTAAATATTGAACTAAAACAGAACCAACGTTTATAAAGTTCAATCATTAAGTTGTTTTATTAATATAACTGTGACTATCTACTGTTTTTTAGCCAGACATTAGAGTTTTGTATACAACGATTTTTAAATTATCTGTTTTATTATTTTTCAAAAAAATATATTTAATTAATTTTAAGTTAAGTTATGCATTGTTTCTAGTAATTTCTAGTTTTTTTTTTTGAGTTTATGATTTTAGCCTATATTATTAAACAAGTTAATTTATTTCTAAACCTTAAATATTAAATTTTCAACATGGTATTTAAAGGATGTTTTTATATTGTAAGCAGAGATGTATTTAAAATTTTGACGCCCTAGGTAAAGTTTTATTGCTGCATCTACACCTATCCCTTCTCTATATTATGTATTATAGCAAAATAAAAATGTTACCACCCTTTAATTCCAAAAAGAACTTGCTGCCCGAGATAATAGTACTTAACTCGTCTCTCTAAAACGACCCTGATTGTAAGTGCAAGTCTGTCCCTTTATCGCATAGTTTACAATAGCCATAGAAGTCCAAGATTTTAATTTTTTTTTACAAAATAGCGATCTCACAAGAAATATTATTTTTTAGTTTATTTAAATTATTTATTAAATAGCGAATAGCATTATAAACTTACTTGATTAACTCGCCCCAATTGAAGTTTTAATAAGATTGACTAATATTAGATAGTCGATTTTTAGCATGTCTGTAGGGATTAACAAAGATGTTAAATAACATGTCACAATGAATGCGTTTATATATGTTTATATGTTTTATCTTAGATGTACTGCAGTACGATAACACTCCGTGTATTATTTTTAGTCTTTAGTCTCGCGCTGTTCGTCAATCCAGTGACACTTTTTATTTGTACTCTTTTTTTATGTTGTATAAAATCATTTTTCATTATTAAAAAGTATTAATTATTATAAATTTTAATTGTAGTATTTTGTAATAAATATAAACACCAAAACGCTACAAATTGGTGACCTCTAAAATGAACAACAAATCCGATAGTGCGATAGTAAGTGTGCGTGACAACGCGACCGGTAATGATGGCCGAGACCATATCGAATACGGCGAGCCCAATTTGAATTCAACGCGGGCGTTTAAAATCCCAACTTTCTGGCGCACCAACCCAGAACTTTGGTTCAAACAAATTGAATCCGTTTTTTATACAACCAGAATTATATTTATATTTTATGTTTATATTTATTACAAAATACTACATGTCTAAGAATATATATAAATATATATATTTGTTTTGCTTAATTATTTAATGTATCAAATTTTAATTATTTATAAATAAAACAACGATTAATAGTTATTGTGTTTTTTGTGGTTAAATATTCAAAATATAATGACAATTTATAACTCGTGGCTAATATTATTTAATTTATTCGGTTACGCACTGAAAAACTTTTAATTTTAAATTTCAAATTATAAATAATTGTTTACAAAACTTAATAAATTTATTAAACTGTTACATAAAAATTGTATGAAATATTACTAAAAATTAATTTTTTAAATGTTACCTATTAGTATAGTAAACAAATTGCATTTATAAAATGAATGCCGTTTATAATGCCGGCTTAGTCAATTTTTGATAGAATCTATTCAAGCACTGCTTTTATTACATAAAAATAATTCTTATTTTATCAGAAATATTTGTTATGTTTGATGGAATTGGTAATTTTTTCTTTGTATATTATATTTGAGATTATATATATATATATATATATAATGTATTTAATAATAATTTAATCAGTTATGCAAAATAATAACTTTTAATTTAAAATTTAAAAGTAGAAATAATTGTTTACAAAACTATGAAACTTCATAAATTTATAAAACTGTCAAGTAATAATTGTGTGAAATATTACAAAAAATTATCTTTTCAAATGTTGTTTTAGCTATAAAAAAAGATTGATAATCAGTAATAATCTTAGAAAAGTGCATAACGATTTGGCGACAAATTCATTGATTTATTTAATTATTTTAATTTTATTATTTCGTTGGACAGATACTAGAGAAAATGAGTCAAAAGTCAATCGACACAAGAAGAAAGAGCGACAAATTCAAATATTTAGATGATGAAAATTAAGTGTCAATAATGTATAGTAGAATATATATATTGCATGAGAGAACGTAACATAGCGGCCAAATGTATAATACAAAAAAAAAAAAAGATTACTGAATAGTCAGTCAGTTGCGTTGTTTCGTGTCCCGCGGGTAAGAATTAAGTTCATAAGCAAACTGGCAACATTGGTTCCATAAGTCTGTATACTTAAAAGGGACAGAGCTTTGAAGTAGTTCTTAAGGCTTATGAATTCTACACGTTGTCAGATTTCTCTTTAACTTACATTTTATTTGAATTTATCGCCGTTTATAAAATATTTCTTTCCGTCTGCTGAAAACGGTTGTTTGAATTTGCAGCTTAAATATACGAAAATTATTGCTATTAATAGACCGTCCGGTAAAGTTATTTTTCTTTTTGTTATTTATTGCCCATTCGTATAGTACATAAATCGCATTAATAAAATGAATGCTGTTTATTATGCTGGCTTAGTCAATTTTTGATACAAATTATTCAATCACCGTTTTTATTACATAAAAGTTATTCTTTTTTTATCAGAAATATATGTTGTTTGTTGGAATTTTTTAATTTTCTTATTACATTTTATTTGAGACAAAATATATATTTCAGTTATAATAATTTAATCGGTTATGCACTGCAATAACTTTTAATATAAAATTAAAAAATATAAATATTTTTTTTTAATTTTTAACTTAAGAAATGTATAAAACTGTTATTAGCTTTACAGAATGATTATTTTATCATAGTCCACTTAATTTCTCCTCAAGTTATAATAATCTTGAAAATATTTTGTTTAGTCATTAATATTAAATATAAGAGGTTAAATATTTTTTATGTCTGTCCTTTATTCCTTAAAAATACCAACTTTATTTTTTAAAAGGCAACATACGTTTTTAACTTATAAAATAGAAAATGTCTAATTTAAAAAAATGTATGTTTAATAATAACTATTGGACAAGTAATTCAGATAGTATTAATATTTTTATATGTAGGCAGATTGAAATGCGCGGCTATATAACGTCTAATGATAAAAATGGTCATAAATATATTAGAGCAATAAAATAAAAACTTATTTTGATGAATAATTGATAATTACTTTTCGACCATTACTTCGGAAATTAGCAAGTATTTATAGCTGATGGGTGAAAGAGCGTGGTCGTGAATAATGTTAAGAGTTAAAAATAGTGACGACCGATTACTAATATAATAGAGCAATAAATTGAATTTGTATAATAAATTCATCGATTTTTTTTTAATTCGAAAGATAGCTATTTGAGAAAATGAATACTGAAGTCAATCGAGCCAAGAAGTAAGAGCGACAAATTCAAATAACAGAGTGGACTATACCATATCATAATCATAATGATATAATATAGTTAATACACTGCATAAGAGATTGTGACTCAGCGGCTTAATGTTAAGATAGAAAGATCCTGTCCTATTTAATAGCCACTCAGTTACGTAGTCTGGAGTATGTAATAATCTTAGAAATATTTTTTTTTTGGCTTTGTTGAGTACTATTTATCTCTCAATTTATAAATGGTTAAATACTTTATACCTTATAAGAATACAAACTTTTTTTTTTTAGTTTAGGCAACACATTTTTAACTTATTTAATAAATAGACAATGGTTTAATTTAAAAAATACTGGTCGATAATTACAATTGTATTAGTAATTCGGAAATTATTACTATTTTTATGTTTAGGCGGGTAAAATGCGCGGTAGAGAAACGTCTAATTATAAAAATAGTCATATCCAATACTTATATACTATAAAAGAGCAATTTTAGAGTAATAAATTAAAAACTTAACAGCGAATTTAATAAAATGAATACTGAAGTCTTATAAGAAGTAAGAATGATAAATTCTAATAAACGATCGAACAAAGAATCATAAGGGTATGGTACAGTGAACATATTGTACGACAGAAAGTAAATTGGCTGTCGAATGGCGAGATGAACGCCGCCTATTTTACCCAATAGTAATTCAGTTATGTTTTCGCTGAGCCAAATTATTTTATAAGTAAACTGGCAACGTCAAAATAATAAGCGTAAGACGTTATTAACGATTTGTCCCTTTAAATCTTATAGGTTTATCAAAGCAACGTTGCCAGTTTGCTTATAACATATCTTTTATTTGAATTTGACGCTCCACTATTCGACTGGATAGATTTCAGTATTCATTTTCACATACATCTCACCATGGAATTTATCAATGAATTTGTCGCCGTTTATAAAATATTTCTTTCCGTCTGCTGAAAACGGTTGTTAGAAGTTGTCGCTCAAATATACGAAAATTATTGTTATTAATAGACCGTCCGGGTAAGTTATTTTTCTATTTGTTATTTATTGCCCATTAATATAGTAAACAAATTGCATTTATAAAATGAATGCTGTTTATTATGTCGGCCTAGTCAATTTTTGATACAAATTTATCAAGCACCGCTTTTATTACATAAAAGTTATTTTTTTTTATCAGAAATATTTGTTATGTTTGATGGAATTTATAATTTTTTCTTTGTATATTGTATTTGAGATAATGTATTTAATAATAATTTAATCAGTTATGCAAAATAATAACTTTTAATTTAAAATTTAAAAGTAGAAATAATTGTTTACAAAACTATGAAACTTTATAAATTTATAAAACTCAAATAATAATTGTGTGAAATATTACTAAAAATTATTTTTTTAAATGTTGTTTTATTAGCTATAAAGAAAGATTGATAATCAGTAATAATCTTAGAAAACATTTTTTTTCGGCTTAGTTAGGTATTTATAAAAGGGTTAAATACTTAGTTCGTTCTTCATGACTTACAGGGGCAAACTTTATTTTTTTTAATGGCAACATACATTTTTAACACGCTTATATTAGTTTCACTTGTATGTTGTGGATGTTTATAACTTTCCACNGCTTATATTAGTTTCACTTGTATGTTTATAACTTTCCACGCGGCACGTGTCTACGGCCTTGAGACTAGACGGTCGTAACGCATTCACCCCACCCCGCTCACCCTTCGTAGACAACAATATTTTCCAACCCGTAGACGCGCGCTTGTCATCAATTATATATACATACAACAAATATTTATTGTGATTGACACGGCCACGCGTCGTTTTACGCCGCGGTGCAAAGTCCAGTAACGACGACGTCCCGCCGTTAATGATACCGTAGTCTTCTTCTCGTTGTCAAAGTGACGACGTCAACAAACCGATCCGCATTCGCGCACTGTCGTCATCTACGCTGCTAACCTTTTGACGCCCGAGGATCACGCCGGACATCGCGTCGTAGACCCCAGCAAAAGTGCCGCGATATTGTGCGAAGTTTATATATTCTTACCATCGCTGCTAATATTAATATATATATATATATACATATATATATATTAATATTTATAAATACGTATAAGATAATATTCATTTAAATATTCCTACAGCCGACGCCTCTGCCGCCGTATATGCCTCGTGTATAATGTTCCACCCGCAAGGCCTCCCACAAAACGGTTATACCTCATGCATGATACGTTTACGTACTTAAGTCCCTTTACATGTATATATATATATTCTAATTACTATTAAAACTTATATATTAATACACTTTATTCTTATTAAGAGATATGTAGTGTATTCATTCAGATTACAGGGGATGATTCTCGTACCGTCACTACCTCCACGTTGCGCGCCTGCTGCTTTCCTTGAATGTGGTAGTCGTTTCTTAGACTCCCTCTCCGGAATCGACCCTGATTTCCCGTTACCCGTTACAACCATGATATTGATATTAACTACTATCATAACATGAAACTAAAAAGTAAAAAATAAATATAGTTTAAAAAAACTAAAAAACACGCTTTTAAAGCACATCGAACTAAAAAGTTAAAAATAATTTTTAAAATTAACTTAAAACAATAATGAACGAAAAATACTAGTATTATTGTGAAAAAAAGCGTGTGGCGCTCAATATACGAAAAACATGGCACAAAGCACCCACGCTTTTATCACAATAATACTAATATTTTTCGTTCATTATTGTTTTAAGTTAATTTTAAAAATTATTTTTAACTTTTTAGTTCGATGTGCTTTAAAAGCGTGTTTTTTAGTTTTTTTTAACTATATTTATTTAATTAAATATAAAATATGAAATGTTTTAATTTAAATAATGTCTGATCGATAATAATTATTGGACCAGTGGTCTTCGGAAGTTGTTACTATTTTTATCTTATGCAGATTGAACTGCGCGGCCGTGTAACGTCTAATGATAAAAATGGTCATAAATATATTAGAGCAATAAATTGAAAACTACATAACAATTTGGAGACAAATTCATTGATTTATTTAATTAATACGATTTTATTATTTTACACAATATTCAAGTACCCCTTTTACTTTAATATTGTAGCCTTTTTGTTTTGTTCTTTTTGAGCAGAAATTGTTGTTATGTTTGATGGAAGTTTTAAATTTTGTTTTACATTTTATTTTATACTAAATATATATTGTAATTTACATTTATAAAATTATAGTTGAAAAGCAATGTACATAAGATAACTAATCCTTCAAAAAAAATTTTGATATTTGATATTTTATTTTCAGCTTTTCAATCTAAAATAAAATCTGCTATATATTCTCAGAGAAAAAATTCATTTAAGTGGCGTCTCGTAGTTTGTACGACGTAGCACCCCCTACTAAAATTAATTGTGTATTCTTAATTCTAGAGTTTTATTAAAAATGCAAATTTTTAAATAGTACAATAGTTGTAATACATTTGTCGATGCGAACATTTAAGTTGCGTGTGGGTACGCATGCACACACAAGCAATTATTATTATTACTTTCATTTTTATTTTCTACTGCTACCTTTAAAATAATAATATGTGTGTTATATTTTATTTTATTTGAAAATTTTTTATATCTATGACTAGTGGTATTATATTTAAAGTCGCATCCCCTCCCACCAGCACTCACGATACACAGCTGTTAAATATACATTACAAACAGTGCTCGAATTGGGGGGGTGCGCAGGGGGACGTAGTTCCTCTACTTTTTTTTATGAGGACGGTGGAAGATACCACCTCTTTTTTTTAATAATAGTATGATAATGAAATATAATTTATTAATAAATACTAAAAAAAAAGGTCTTCAAAATGCTAGGGACGCAGTTTTCAAATTAAGTTAAGCTCCCCTACTTATTTTTGGCCAATTCGAGCACTGATTACAATAATAATATTACTTCTTTTACGAATATTAAAAATATAGCCGCCACTGAATTTACTATTACCCCAATTGTGTACAATTATCCCACTTGACCCTATCGCCAAGTTTATATAATTTATAGATAAACATTTTTAATTTCCATTCCTTGCTTATACGAGGTTTTTCACGCCTAGTTTAATTTAAAGTTTGTCATAAATAATAATTATTTGGAAATTGAATTTAAACGAAATGAAAGAAAAATGATATATGATAAAGCGGTTTTTGATAAATGTGAAATGGCGTTTATTTTTCGGTTCCTATATTCGTTTATGTTTGATAATCAGTATAAACAAAGGTGTGCATAAATACATTTGTTTATGTAGATTATTTCTTGGTAATATTAATCACAAATTTTATACTGACCAAGTATGAATTTATTTAGTGAACTCTCATTTCCTGCTTCAATGTGCATTATAATGTTACACTGAAAGTTTTAATTTCTGACTATTGTGTTGTAATCAGTATACTTTGATATTTAAACTTTACAACGTTTTGTGTATTTTGTGAAACACAATCACCAATATTTTAGTAGGTTTTACATGGAGTGTTTACTTCCGGAGATTGAAAATCTTCATCTCCCTAAAACATTGCTCAAGTCGGATATAAAAACTGTTATTAAGAGTTTTATACTAAGATGACATTTTTTCGAGAAATTAACAGTAACTGTTATTTTGAAAGTAACAATAACAGTTCCCATTACTAAACTAACTTAACTTTTTAACTCGTAAGTGCCATCGGCGCAAATTGTGAGAAGGGCGCTTATCCCTTCCATCTTTTTAAAAAAACTTTAAGTATAATTATATAATAACAATTTTAAAGACAGGGAAATTAGATATAATAAGACCCTTTATAATTTTGTTGAATTGCGCTTCTGGTCAGTGACCAGTCTTCAAATTTGTTGGGCATCTTTTAAAATTAAGCTCCGGTAGTATCCGCAACTAAACTTCCAATTATAAAATATAGTTTAAAAAACTAAAAAAACACGCTTTTAAAGTACATCGAACTAAAAAGTTAAAAATAATTTTTAAAATAATTATGAACAAAAAATACTAGTATTATTGTGATAAAAGCGTCGGGCGCTCAATATACGAAAAATATGGCACAAAGCACCCACGCTTTTATCACAATAATACTAGTATTTTTTGTTCATAATTATTTTAAAAATTATTTTTAACTTTTTAGTTCGATGTACTTTAAAAGCGTGTTTTTTTAGTTTTTTAAACTATATTTATTTTTTACTTTTTAGTTTCATGTTATGATAGTAGTTACTATCAATATCATGGTTGTTACGGGTAACGGGAAATCAGGGTTCGATTCTGGGGAGGGAGTCTGAGAAACGGCTACCACATCCAAGGAAAGCAGCAGGCGCGTAAATTACTCACTCCCGGAACGTGGAGGTAGTGACGAAAAATGACGATACGGAAATCATCCCTCGTAATCGGAATGAATACTTTATATCTCTTAATTAGAATAAATCGTGTTAATATATTAATTTTAATAGTAATTAGAATATATATATTTATACAAATAATGCGACTTAACTACGTAAAAGTATCATGCACTAAGTATAGCTGTGTTTTATGGCCGGGCGGGTCGGACTAACGTTATACCCGAGGTATAAACGGCGGTAGGAATATATATATATATACGTAAGGCGCATTAGACGCGGGCGTTATTGGTCAGTCAAAATAAAAATTTGTTTACATATATATAATATTGATGACAAGCACGCGTGTACGGGTACGATAACTAAAAATAAATTTTTATAGGAATAGTGTACCGTCGTATTGTGAGCGAGGCGTGGGGAGGGGTGAATGCGTATAACAGTCTAGTCTAGACAACGGAATATGCGATAACGCGTGGCGTTTGGAGAGTTACAAACTTACATACAAACAACATACAAACAATATACAAACAACATACATGTGAAACTAATAAAAGCGTGTTAATAAAACAAATTCAATCGACTATGATTTACAGTAGTACCAATTATAATTTCCAAACGAAACTGGTAGAAATCATCTTTAGTAATTTCAACATTGTTTTTCTTCCATGCATATGTTTTTCTTCTATGATACGTACGCCCCACTCTTTCATGTAACGCTATGCGGTTTCTTGGTTGTAATGAACACGAGTGCAAGTTGGTTTACTCATCTTTCTGAGGACACTGTTACTGTTATACTGATTAATTCGGATGGTTTTTATTTTATTTAATCGTTGATATTATAGTTTTTAGGGACTAAATTATGGTAAGTATTTAATTTTTTTATTAAACAGTAGATGTTTAATATCATAATTTTGCATCAATTATTTTTGTATGAACAATCATAATTAACTAAAAATATGTCATTAAAATCACCATGTGGCTAGTATAATTTTCTTCATCTAATTTATTGTTGGTTAATCTTTTTCATTATTATTTAATACGATTTCGATGTAATATCTTCAAATTTAAAACATATTATTCTTGTAATATTTAGTAATTTGTTTTTTTATTTCATTGAAATTAGAAAATTTAATTTTCAATTCTAACCTCACTTTTTTTTTTTTTTGTAAAAATGGTTAATTATTGTTAAATAAATTGATTGATTTGTATAACAAATAAGTTAAAATTTGTTTTTTTTTAAATGGTTAATATTTAATAAAAATTTCAAGCGTATATACAGGTTACCTAGCACTTACTGACAACTTAAATAAATTTTGATCCAGTTAATTATTTGCTATTTTTTAATTTTTAATATACTTGAGGCCTATAATAATAATTTAATAATATCATTTTTATTTAAATATAATAATTAAATTTTAAAAATTTACGAAAAATGTTTAAAAAAATTTCCAAATAGCCATTTTTTAGAATAGCTTTGAAAAATAATTTGGTGAAAAAATTCTCATTAATTTTTAGGTAGATAATTTTCTGTAACATTTTAAATTTCAAAAAAATTGAATTTTCCTGTGTTTATTTTACTGTATCTAATGCTGGTTATGTTATATAGAAAAGGACACTAGTAAACACAATGTTTTCATACTAAATATATGATTATAAATTTTCAATGAAAATTATTAACATTCCACTGACCAGCTTAAAATAAAAACGCAAAAATTACATATTATTTAATGTTATTAAATTAGTTATATCTCTCTAGAGATTAAACTAATTATCTTACTTTTCTTCTGTACTTGTCTTAACCCATATTTCAATGTTTAATACTGTAAAGTAACACATAAAAAATCAAATTTTCACAAAGTTTAAAATGATACAGACTATTTACTATTGAATATTAATAAGATATTTTTTTACTAAAATATTTCTTCAAATAGCTGTCTTGAATTTTTTTTTTTTTACATTTTATTTAAAATTTAAAAATAATTAATATTTTTAATAAAATGTAAATTATTGAGATATAATTGTAGACCTAACATATAAATCTTATTTAAAAAAAAAATCTTAAAAAGTATTAACTAGATTAAAAGTTATTTAAGTTTTTAGTGAATGCTGGATCACTGTATGTATATATATATATGTATAATTTCTGTATAACATATAATGGAAATAATATTTCTATCATATTATTATAGAAATGAATATTAAATACAAATTTTGTATTCCTGTTATAATTTTTATATCAATGTTTTACCTTTAATTTTTAGCTATATGTTAACAAAAAAAAACTAATATTTGAATATTAGAATTTTTACAAGAATTAAAAAATTTTAGGCGTTATCTACAGCTCGGCCGTTAGTTTCTGTTTATAATGAAAAGAATGAAGAAACTGGTGAAACTGTTGCCCTTGCTACAGTATTCAAGGCACCTATTAGACCTGATGTTGTAACATTTGTTCATAACAATATTTCCAAAAATAGCAGACAACCTTATGCTGTTAGTAAATTAGCTGGTATGTATTATTTTTTTTAATTATCAAGTTACTAGTGGATGTATCAACACCTATTAATTCAAGGTCATCAAACCAGTGCTGAATCCTGGGGTACTGGACGTGCAGTCGCTCGTATTCCTCGTGTTCGTGGTGGTGGTACTCATCGCAGTGGTCAGGGAGCATTTGGTAACATGTGTCGTGGTGGACGTATGTTTGCACCAACTCGTACATGGCGTCGTTGGCATCGCAAAATAAATGTAACTCAAAAGCGATATGCTACAGTATCAGCCATTGCTGCTTCTGGTGTACCAGCTCTTGTAATGTCTAAAGGTAAACATGAAAAAAGATTAATTTAGTAGTGTTATGTAATCTATCTGTATGTAATCTTAAAAATGGTATGTTATATGATTTGTTTTAAATGGCATATGTTATGCTGATTTTATTAAAATTGTTGAACTCCAAAAGTAAAGAGTAAATTCATAATTATAAATTTTTTTATAATTTTAGTATTAATTACACAGGATAACAAATAAAAATAAAATTTATTATTTCATTTAACTTAAATTTTTCCTAATAATTTCATAATGTTTATTATTAGTTAATTTTGGGGCTGTTTCATCCTTTTTAATCAGTTTTTTGGATAGTTACATAATTCATATTAGAATGATGATTTTGCTAGGAGCACTGGGTTATGAGTTCTGTGATTACTTATTAACAAATTCTGATTATTTCAAAGACAAATTTGTGAGTTCAATATTAAAATGACAAAGTGATGACATGTTAATACAGAGCATTGGGTTATGAATTCTGTGATTACTTTAATAACGTTGACACTGTCTGATTGTATTTAAATACTAATCTTATTTTATAAAATGCACATTAGTGAACTCAAAATACAGTATAATTTTGAGAATACTATTTGATCGTTTAGTGCATATATTAAAATTGTACTTTTAGGCGTTACCACTCTGAAATAATGTCAATTGTGGTGGCAAAAGTAACTAACATTTATAATTGGTTTTCTACTACTAAACTCATGTGAATTTTCTATTTTCCTATGACTAACCCAATTTTTTTTTTTTTTTTTGACCAATAGATTTATTAAATTGAAAAAAATTATTTTTGTTTAAAATATTTTCTTATATTATTTGATTTTTTACAAGTTCAAAGTTAAGGAGTGATAAGAATAAAAAGTCTTCTTTTTAAAATATGGTATCTTAACCGTGTTATCTTATTTGTATGATCTTTTAATGTTAATGAATAAACAACATAATTATAAAACAGGGTTTTAAAGATAAATACACTGTTTTTCTGTTCCTATACTTTAAACAGCTATAACTTTTTGTAAATTGAGTATATAAAAAATTTTATCAATTAAATAAATTGTTTAGGGTAGCATTTGTTCATATAAATTTAAAGTACAAGGGTTGATGGCATAAAATGAGTTTTTTTTTTTTTTTGTAAAGTAGCTGGAACAAAGAATCATTATTGTTAAAATAAAAATCAATTAATGTGTCGTCTCATATTTAGAAAGATATGTCATTTCTTTTAATTAAGTGTGTTTTACATTTAATTTAAATAAAATTAAAGACATGTCTGATAAGATTTAAAAATGTTAAATAGAATAGTTTGATATCTGGCTAAAAAAAATTAACAATTAAAAATTCTTATATTGTTTATTTAGGTCATATGGTTCAGGAAGTTCCTGAATTTCCTTTAGTTGTTTCTGATAAAATCCAAGAATACACAAAAACTAAACAAGCTACAATTTTTTTGCACCGTATCAAGGCATGGAAGGATGTCCAAAAGGTTAGACTTTTTAATATCTACAAAGTAAATAAAATCATTTATGACTTTTTTCATTAGGTTATTAAATCTCGCCGTCTTCGTGCTGGCAAAGGAAAAATGCGTAATCGAAGACATGTCCAACGTAAAGGGCCATTGATTGTATACAACAAAGATCAAGTATGTATATATATATTAGTATTTTAACTAAATTCTAATCAAAAATGATCATATTGGTGGACATTTTAATATAATTTGAAATGTTGTATTTATACTATAGTAGTTTAACTGTTTTATTGATAAGTAATTATAAATTACTCATAAAAACTCAAAAATAATAGGAGAAAATCATGAAAGAATATATATATATATCAAAAAATTAAACTATTTGGTTAAATAAAAAAAGTTTAACACTTGGTAACAAGTTATTGGTTTTTAATGTTTTCTATTACTAATAAAATGTAATAATTGGACCAAACTAATTAAATTAAATAACTGTTAATATTGCCAATATTGTGAGTATATAATGGATACTATTTGCACATGTTTAAGAGTGGTTATTTTATTTTTTTATAACTATTAATAGCTGTGCTAAATAAATTTGGTTTAATCTTTCTTAATCGGCAGTTGCTTGTATTGGGGACAAATAATCCATACAGATATTAAATGTATTATATTTGTTTTTAAGTAGCACATAATAATGTCCAACACTCATCAATACTATTTGCTGATTTGTTACCGTACGTGTGCTAAATTAAGTAAACTTCAAGGCGTACTCTGGGAATGCAATAGATTCTTTTGGGTTCCATTGGGGTCTTACATTTATAATGTAAATAGTTGAATATATTTTTACAGATTATACTGCACAATATCACACTTAGAATGTTATATAACTTTTGTGAGTGGTCTTTTTGTGCAAAATTGATAAACCATTTCACAGTCGTTGTTTTACCCATTAATGTATTCACAGCATACTCCAAAATGATAACATTATACCATAAGCATTATTTTTATTTCAAATTTACATCTGTTATGTAATATAATTAAATATTAGTTTTTGATAATTATTAGATTTCAATTAACTGATTGAGACATCTATTAGGTAACATTAGATTATTACCTATTTAGGTAAATTTTATTTTATTTCAATTAAATTTAAACTTCAATATGTCTACTGTAATTAGTCATTTACTACATATTTATATAAACCAAATTTTATATTAATATTTCTATTTCTAAAAAAGTAGAGTTTTTCAGTTAATGTATTTAATATGATATTTGATTACGATTTATAACAATCAATATTATGGTCTTCGTGTCAAATACTCTATAAAAATACTTAAAAATTATGATTTGTTTTAAGAGCAATGTTTTATTTTTCAACATAATGTCTAAAGCACCAATACAGGTCACAATTCATTTATTTATGTAATGTTATATTGTTTAAGATAGTGCTAAAATTACAAAGGAATCTCCCCGTATGCTTGTGGTATAGCTCATAGCCACTAATGCTTCCCTTAAGAATCTTACAGTTTATACTAGATTTTAATTTATATTTATTCAATTATTTTACAATATGATTTTAGAACTTCTGTTGAAAACTTAAAAATTCTACAATTTATGTTTCAGGGATTAAAGAAAGCCTTCCGTAATATTCCAGGTGTTGATTTGATTAACATAAGGAAATTGAATTTGTTGCAATTAGCTCCTGGTGGTCATGTAGGTCGTTTCATTATTTGGACCCAATCTGCTTTTCAAAAGTTAGATCAATTGTATGGTACATGGGACAAAAAATCTACTATGAAGAGTGGTTACAATCTACCATTCCCCAAGATGTCTAATACAGATTTGACAAGAATATTCAAATCTGATGAACTTAAGAAATACTTGCCACCTAAAAGGTATTATACAATTAACAATTTTTAAATCAAATTTCTGATGCAATATGAATTGTTCCAATTTGATGTATTAAACTTTGAAAATTATAATAATGCTATTTTTAAGTAGCACATAATAATGTCCAACACTCATCAATACTATTTGCTGATTTGTTACCGTACGTGTGCTAAATTAAGTAAACTTCAAGGCGTACTCTGGGAATGCAATAGATTCTTTTGGGTTCCATTGGGGTCTTACATTTATAATGTAAATAGTTAAATATATTTTTACAGATTATACTGCACAATATCACACTTAGAATGTTATATAACTTTTGTGAGTGGTCTTTTTGTGCAAAATTGATAAACCATTTCACAGTCGTTGTTTTACCCATTAATGTATACACAACATACTCCAAAATGGTAACAATCAAAAGCAATTTTTTTATTTACTAATAAATTTTAAAATTGAATTAGGAAATTTTATTGGACTTGATGAGATAATTCTTGGTCTGTGTTTCTGACGTTGAATGATAGCAACTAATTAAATAATATTTTCTGATCCAATATTTTCAATTACTCATTAGTTATGATGATAAAAATTGGTCCGTGTTGTTGACATTATATGATATTAAATCAGTCATTTGACACATCTGATCTAATGTATATTAATTTTTACCTTATGTATTTAAAATTAATTTTATCACTAATTTTTGTGTAAGAAATTAAAGTATTTTTATTAAATAATTGAGTTTAAATAAATTTTTTTATCCTTCAAGTATCCAAACAATGAAATTAAAAAACTATTAGTGTAATTGATTTGTAGGACGATAACACTGACAGGTTATTCATTAGGTTGTATGAAACAGACATTTGAATTTTACGATTTACATCAGAAATAAGATGTAAAATAGCTTATAACTAAAAATTTTAATGAACTAATAACTAACATACATACATAACATAATGCATTATTTATTTTAATACTTAAGTTAACATTAAGTAAAATATGTGTAATTAATATTTTAAAATAGTGGATATGATGTAGTAATTTACTTTGAACTATGCTGATTTTAAAAAAATAATATGCTTTGTTTTAATTTCTGATCCATAATTGAAGTCTTTATGAATAATATTAATAATATTTTTTTTGTCCATAAATGTACCTAAAAAAAAAAAAAAATATTGAAAAATGTGTTAAAATTGGAAATGATGAAACAAATATTTGATGATAATGATTTTAGTTTAAATTGCTTTGTTTTAATTTCTGATCCAATCTACATATTTATAAAAAGTACAACTAGTTTTTATGAATATTTCCTGAATAATTTTCTGTACACAATAGATAAACTAACAAGAGTTGGTTAAAAAAAAAAATCAAATAAAGCCATTTTTGTAATTCTAAATTAATGAACATTCCTAAAATAGTGTTGTCTTACTTCTATTAATATGAGTATACTTGTGATTAGAGTTCAGGACTTAATGCATTGAAGTTTATTTTAGTAATCTTGAATACATTAATGATAAAAAGATATTCATATTTGTTTTTCTTAACTCTAATCTATATATGTTAATTATGATATTCGGAGTTGGGTAATCATTTACCCATAGATCAAAAAATGTTTCTTTCTATACCTATAATAAATTTTCATGAAGTCTGATGTTTTCTAAAGAAATCCAATCAAATTTAATAAATGTTTAAAGTCCTGGACTTATGATACTAATTAACCTCAGGTGTTTAAAATAATATGCTCCAATGTTCCCTTAGTTTTAGTAAAATACTAGTTTTAAAATTGTTACTTAGGTAATTATATTTAAGTTTATTTTAGCTAATATTGCTTATTACAAAATAATTTAGTAAGTAAAATATCATTCCATAATTTTTGTTGTAGAACTGGTACTCTTCGTCGTACACGTAAATTAAATCCATTGAAACATGTACGTACCATGTTGAAACTGAATCCTTACATAGCTGTACAAAAACGTGTTGCAAGCAAAGAAAATAAACTTAGACAGTTAGCTCGTGAAACATACTTAGCTAAGAAAGAAGGTGTAAGTGTTATTTTATTTGTTTAAAGATTCATGTTCTATAATTTATTCAATGTATATCATATTAAATGATTAAAATGTTATATTTATTTTATGTTAAGATGTTAGTCATTATTAATAAAAAATTATTTTTTTAGAAACCCACCACTGAAAAAGGTGAGAAGGTATTAAAACGCTTCATCAATGAGAAAAAAATGTTGCGTGCAGCAAAACTGAAGGCTAAGAAAGTTATTGCAGTCAAAGGGTTGCGCGATATTCATGAAAAAAAATTGGAAGCATACAGAAAAAGATTGGCTGCACGAAATGGTGCTCCACCTACAAAAAGGTCTAAAAAAGATTTGCCCAAACCTAAACCAAAAACAGAAGTGTCTAAGGCTAAACCTAAGACAGAGAAGAAAGGAAAGGCTCCACCTGCTTCAGCTGTTAAGACAAAATCTAAATAAATGGACTAATAAACTGACCTTATATAAAAACTGTGTATTAATTTTAATTTAAGCTGAGAAGGTATTAATTTTACTATGGCGTTTTTATTTTTTAGCTCTCATCATACAGATTTTTTTCATAATACATCAAAAGATCACAAATTGTATCTGGTTGAAGACATTACCATTAAAAATTGAAAAAAAATTCCCTTGTTCTTTGTAGATTGGGGAAATCTCCAAAAAATTACAATTTTTAAAACTGTAAATGTTGACATTTTTTTTTCTTATAACTGCCATAACCAAAAAATCCCAGCATAGGGGGGTCGCGGCACAGTGGTGACATGGCATAGTTGGATCAAGTATAATGATATTTGACAGTGATTAAAATCACTATTATCAAAAAAAACGCTTCGATGCAAATCTTAATATAGTTTTTAATTTTAAAAAATTGGTGGATTATTCCAAAAGCTACATGATCTGCTATTTCCTTATTAATATCCTGATTAAGATAAAGTATGTCGAATGTAAAAGGGATTAAAAAATATTATATCATAAAAAAATTGGTATTGATCCATACATTTTTTATAAAGTTATAGCATTTTAAAGTAAAATATAAAATCGAGAATTTTTACACAAAAATAACATTCGATAGCCATTTTCACCGTGAAGACAAAATAAAGTCCAAATTTTTTTTTTCAATAATAAAGTACATCACATTAGCTTTAATTTAAGATAAATATAAGTGTCAGACTTTCCGGAACACTTTCAAAAGTTAAGTTGAAAAAGTTCTACTTTTTATATGCATTTTTCAGATTTGAACCCTCCCTCCGTATATAGAGAAATGATCTGATTTAAAAAAAAAAGTATGTCGAATGAAAGATGTATATAAATACTTCTCATGAAAAAATTGTATTGATTTATTCATTTCTGAATAAGTTATGGCAGTTTTAAGAAAAAAAAAATTCAGAAATTAGCGATTTTTAAATTTGTAATTTTTTTGGAGATTTCCCCCATTTATGGGGAACGAGGGAAATTTTTTCAATTTTTGAGGGTAATGTCTTCGACTAGATACGATTTGTGATCTTTTGACATAATGTTGAAATAAATCCGTTCAGTGAGATCTGAGAAAAAGTTGTAATAGACAAAAAAAAAAAAGTAAAACCAATACCTTCTCAGCTTTGCATCGAAGCTAAAATGAACGAATGTAAATAATTTTCCCCATTCATTTGATATAAATACAAAATTATAAAACCTACATTCCTTTGTAATCACTACATAATGGAACAGATCTAACTGACGACTCGTATTACTTAATATCTAAGTAACGTTTTCTACTTATTTTAAAATTAATTTTTACATTATAGGAGTATATTTAAAATATATTAATTTTTGCAAATATTAAATAAAGATTATTAACATATTTTTTAAGTTTGAAGATTGCTATTTTATAGATAAGTTTTAAATAAAACTTTTATTTTAAAAATTTGTTTTAATTTTCAGTCATTACGTTTCTATAACATTTTGATGTGTTATTAAATTTTGCATTTTTTTATTGTATCAAATGTTAGTTCATATAATATATAGAACGAAATTAAACACATGGAAAAGAAATCGCGTACTGTTTCCAGGAAATAACGTAATCATATGGTGTTTATTTCGTTCCTGTACATATATTGAACTAATATTTGATACAGTAAAAAATTGCCAAGTTTAACAAATATCAAAATATTATAGAAACAGCAACTGAAAATTAAATCAACTCTTTGGTATCAAAATTAAAAATATAGTCCTATAATATAACAATTTAAAAAAAGTTGAAAATGTTACTTAAATCATAAGTTAGATGAGTTGTCAGATAGATCTGTTCCATTTAGGATAGTCGGAACAAAACGATGAATTTTTTTGGAGTTATTCAAAAATCTAAATTGTTAGTACATCTTTAATAGTCATAAGATTTACTTAATTGCAAATACAGTAAAGAAAGATGCATTCCAGCAGAAACTGTAGGCTTACGTTGCGTATTGTATTGATTACGTTGCCAAGGTAACAAGTCAATTATAAGGTTCCAATTTATAATGTTTATTTCCATGTAGTCATTTTTATAATGGAAAATTATAAAATAATCGAAAGGATAGGAGAAGGTACACATGGACAAGTCGTAAAAGCATTGCACAGACCTACAAGCAAAATTGTGGCGTTAAAATGTGTTAATTCAATGGATAAAACAACGAAGAATGTTCTACGTGAAATTGAATCGCTTAGAGCTTGTAATTCAGATTATGTTAGTAATTTTATTATTTCATACTACATTGGTTGTCCTAATTTTATGAAACATTTTGTTAGATTATAACCTTGACAGAGCACTTCTGCCATTGCTTCAGCACTTATTTGGTTTTGGAATATATGGTGTCAGGACTGTCGGAAATGTTGCTAGATGAATCTATTATTTTAAATGAATCTCATTTGAAATCTTACGCTAGAATGCTTCTTAATGGAACAGCTCACATACATTCATTAAAAATTATTCATAGGGTAGGTTTCTTTAGTGGCGGATCCTGTAGGGGGCATGAGGAATATACGCCTTACTTTGAATTATCATCGTCTACTAAGAAAAGGATAAAAGGTCTTTAAAACAAACAAAATGATTTTGACAACAAAAAAATTGTGTCTTCCTTGAATAAAATTCTGTATTTGCCACTGGTTTAATGGTTAAAAGTATAGTAAAACCTGATATTATATTTTTAGGATTTAAAACCATCTAACTTACTAATAAGTTCAAATGGAATTCTCAAAATAGCAGATTTTAGTTTAAGTCGTTCACTATTGGTTTCGGAAAACGAAAATTCAAAAAAAAATTGTTACACAAATCAAGTGGCTACACGTCGATATCGTGCTCCAGAACTTTTATTTGGCTCTACTAATTACAATCAATCTATCGACATGTGGTCTGTTGGATGTATAATCGCAGAAATGTTTACTAAAACGCCATTATTTCCTGTAAACATCTATAATTTTATTAACATTAAGATATATCAGTTAAATTAAATTAATTTTTTAGGGAGACACTGATTTGGAACAAATTGCTATGGTAGTTCATTACTTGGGAACACCTAATAATAATACATGGCCAAATAGAAATGAAATGCCAGATTTCAATAAACTTAAATTTACACAATGTAGTCCCATCCCAATGAAACATCTATTACCAGATATAAATAAAAATTTAGTGAATTTAATTGAAAGTTTAATTATGTATGATTCATATAAAAGACTTGATGCGAGTGAGGTTGGTAATATATGAAATAAGACAATTATACAGATACTTATAATTAAAAAGCATTTATTTAACATACAGGCTTTAAAACATAGTTACTTTTTTAATGACCCATTACCATGTCTCATTCATAAAATGCCTGTTCCGCCACAACATCAAAGACTAATGTCATTAAGTAATAATCCTCTTTTACTGGGAAGTGTGGAACAAAATTTCAAAAGTATTTACAGAATATTACAAGAACTATCGTAAACGATCTCAAATATAACCAAGTTTACTTTGTGTAAGATTTGTATGTAACAATAAGTAAAAAAATATAGCAGTTAGTATCATTAGATCAATTAAATTTTTTTCATTAGTGTTTTATAATTATAGAAATAGTTGGAATTTGTACAGTTTGCAGAAAGAATCGTTCAATTATGATTAATTTAGAAGAATTGGGTAAAGTAAAATCTACAAATTTTAAAATTAAATATAAAAAACTTGCCTAATAGATTGTAATTTATTTGGTTACAACTAAATCTTGATGAATTAATTTGAGACAATTTGTTATGTAGTGTATTTCCATGAGATAAAACTTCGGTAAAAAGTCTAACGGTTGTCTTTGCGACATAAAAATGTATTGTTCGAATTAGTTATATGTGTGTGCATATGTTCGCATAGTAAAACAAACATGGTTAATAAGCTGTTATTAAGCCGTTTTTTCTAAGAAATGCTTTTCATACAAACGTACATCGTCGATTATTATTACCGTTGCTCATTATTGTTTTTCTGCTAATCGAATCAAATTACCACGATCAACTGGTTGTTTGTAGATATCTGTATACGTCATTATATACTTACAAGCAGCTCTGATTTTCAGCATCATAGTGACAACTTATAACTCCCAATTAATATTGATTTGTTTTCTGATCATATATGCTATTTTGAGTGTTTAATTAATAGTAATGTCTCTAAGGTACAGTAGTCGCCAACTGCTGGTTAGAAGCGACAATATTTGTACATCTTATATTAATAAAGAAAGCAGAACCAGGCCTTGATATAAAAGGTTTCTTTATTCGTATTATGTGTGTCTTCAACTTGATACGATTTGTGATATTTTTAAATATTCTTGAAAGAAATTATTCCGGCGATAGCTGAGAAAAATTGGCGACAGAAACAAAAAAAATATATATATTGTAAAATGAATACCTTTTCAGCTTCGCATTGCATCGAAACAAGAATTAATTCAAATTTTAATACTTACTACTAATGAGTAATTAGTAAAATTATAATCTATGTTCTCTGTATACGCATAAATTATAATTGAATATTGGTATTTCGGGGGTTAGTCTGATTATCTAGTAAGGATTTTATGTTTTTAACGATTTTTATTTTGATTATCTGCTTAATAAATGTAGATTTTACTGATGTTTACTGGGCAAGTGAAATTTGATTCAAGTTCCTGTTTGAAATATATAAGTATAATAAGCGTTAAGCGTTTCATGAAATTTACTAGATTTGAATATTACTATATTATAACAGAATATATAATAAATACAATAATGAAATTTTTGAACTATTATGAAGTGTTTTAGGTGCTTCATGCATCTAACACTCAATTTTCTTATATCAATGATAAATAAAACTGGTTAGTTTATTATGAATTAAATTTTTAATTTAGTTACTTTTATAGTTTAATATAAATATTAGAAAAATAAATGCAATATATTTATATTTTTAATAATACACAATTTTATATAGTTTACACTAATCACAGATTTAGAAAAAAAGATGACAAAAATAAATTATAACAAATTAGGTTAATTCCAAATGTTAAATGTACTTAAAGTAAGTTAATAAATATTAATAGGATTTTTCAAGAGGAAAGATGGAGCTTATAAAATTGATCTTTAAATATTTGTTAATATAAATAAATAAATATACAACATATCATCAAATGACTCATTTAAATAGGAGTAACATTCCAGATTTTTGTATTACAATCTTGACCAACTGATACAATAGTTTCATCATCCAACCATAATACACGTGTAATTTGACTTTGAGGATGAGCATCTACAACGAAAAAAAAAAGATTTAAAATTACATATTTTTTTTTTAAATAACAAATAGTTTCAACTTACTTTTAATAATTGTATGCTTATTTGGTGAAGAAACACTCCAAACAATAATTGTTGTATCTAAACTTCCACTGGCTACTAGTTTAGAATTAGGAGACCAAGCAACACAGTTTACACGTGCACTGTGGAACCCCCAATCTTGTTTATGTGCCACCTTAAACCGTCATTTAACAATGTTTATAATTTTATTACATTAAAATTAATTAGGATTAATTATAATTAATTAATATTAAATAATTATCAACCTTTAGACAATTCCAAGGATATTCACTGTAAAGCCAAAATAATAATTTTATAATAACTCACAGAGATATAATAAAAAATGATTCATTTAAATTTTGAAATTATTCAATTCATAATCATGCATTTATTTTTTATTTATAGTGTAAAATTTACTAATTTTATAAATTTAAATGAAATTATACTATTATTGAATTTATCATGATAATTTATTTGTAATATAAAATAACTGTATCAAGTTAAATTATTTTAAAGGAAAATTTATAAAAATAAAATTTTAATAACTAATTTTTTGTAAAATAAAAAAAATATAGGCTTTTTAAAAAATTATAAATTATATAAAAATTTGCAAGATAAGATTTTATTTTCAAAATGAATAATTGGCATTGCACAATAGCAGGCGCAATTTTTTAATTTTTTACTATTTCTGTTAAAGTGAAGAGCTATTTCTTAAAAAGAGGACCTTTTTAATAAAATAATTTTAATTTTTTATTTACGCCTACACAACGTGCACTATTGTATTTTTAACTTGACTCAAAGGTCTCTCCATGTATGGTAATTCTGTTACTTACAGTAAATTCAGGCACTTTATACAAAATAATTTTTCGGTTAGCATCACTTGCTGCTAAATACTCGTTATTTGGCGAAAAAGCACAGTCAGTAATTGGACCAAGGTGATCACATTCAGCTGTATGTTCCAATATACTTCCATTAAACTTGTACACATGTACCTTATTAAAAAAGTATTTTAAAATAAATGCATTATTTAACTAGATAGTAATATCAATGGTCTAGCAAACATAAGGTAGATGCATTTTTAAAAAACTTTTTGTTTTTGTTACAAATATTATATCATTTTTAATTTTTAATTAATTTTAATTCAAAATATTATAAATGATAACATTTCAAAATTAAATATTTATCACTTGTGTTTAAGAAGTGCTCAGCTATTTGCATTTGATAACTTTACAAAGACTTTAATGTGCATTACAATTTTTTCAAAAGTTATTTTTTTACATAAATTAGTAGATCTTATTATCCAAAAAATATTGATTAAAATTTTTTATAAAGAAAAGTACTGATTTTTTAAAAACTAATAAATAACTATTAAAAAGATATTTAATAACTATTAAAACTAATAAACAGCGTTATATAGGTTTTAAATTAATGCATTTTGTTTTTCTATTTCCTGAAATTAATTTTTAATAATATACATAAAAATATTCGGATGATCTCATTTATTCTAAAACTTACTTTATTATCTAAAGAACCACCAATTACTACATATGAAGCATCAGAGTTTACAGCTACAGCTGATGGTTCATAATCGACTGGCAAATTAAATATTTTTTTTTCATTTTTTAAAACAATAATCTGAAATTTTGAAAAAATTGGAAAATTAATTTTTTATACTAAATTACATTTTAATTGAAAAAAAAAAATTAAATAGTTTAAAATATTTTATTACCTCTTTTACAGTTGCTGTAACAAGAATATTACTGTTAAGATCCATTCCTTTAGGTTGTGCATTTAATTTAATTTGTAAATCTGTATAGGTATTAGTTTTAATATTCACTTGTCGAAGACTGTCATCAATACCACAAGTGTATAAATATTCACTATCTAATTTCATTCCATTTATTTGATTCCCATGACCAATACCTTGTATTTTATCATTTTCACCTAAATATTATAAAGCTTAATATAAAGCTTATATTAAATAGTATAAAACTATTTGGTAATCAAAATAAAATAATTAAATATTTCCATTCAAATTAATTTCTAGTAATATAATTATTGATCTAATTTAATAGTATTTATAAGCCACTGACCAAGTTTGATTTCATTGCTGAGCTATATGATATTTACATTCATTTAACTACAAGCAATAGTATAATAGAGGACACCATAGAAAAAAAATGATAATTTAAATGGTTTTTCTAATACTTGATATTTTGAATTAATTGAAAGTTTAGAAAAAAAAGATAATGAGAATTCATTACTAATAAAAGTTATCATTGAACAAGTAATGCTACAAAGCATTTAAGAATGAGTTTATATAATTCAATGGTTTTACCTGTTTTAGCATTCCAACTAGTAATATTGCCATCGTGAGAGCCAGTGTAAATTATACTTTGATCTAGACTTGATGCTAATACTGTAATGGGTTTATTGTGACCCTAGTTGTTAAAAAATTAATAAAAGTTAATATATTATTTAATAAAATTTTGTGTTTATTAAATAATAAACATGAAATTCATTAATTGTAATTAACTACAATGGGAACTCGATTATTTAACATTATAAGGACTAGTATTATAACTACAGCATAGAACTTAATGCAGTTGCATCATTGAGAATAATATATGCACTATTATGAGTGTTCAAAATATCAACAATTTAAGCCGCAATAGATTTATACACAAATTTTTTTTTTTTAAATTAAGCAAATTTATTAGAATTGCATACATATTAATTGATAGAGGCATATAAAATGTATGTTTTAATATTTGTATGAGTTTATTACCTGTATCAGACAAAAAAATAACATATTTTAATGAGAAAAATTTGCATAAAAAAAAAATTTTTACTACAAGTTTTTGCAACACTGATATTTCACATTACAATAATTGGTATTGATAATTTATACATATATATTTTATTTTCTCTTTATTATATGAAAATTATCAATTTTTTGTATTCATTCAAATTCTGTCTTTAGTGCTCTTTTTTCCATATTTAAGGTAGGGTAGTTCATGAGCCTGCAATTGATCTTATGTTTTACTGCATCTTTTTTTTGTTTTTTTGATTTAATCTATCATGATTTAATTTGAACCCTATCATCTTATCTCTTCTCGGTTAGTAATTCAGAAGAGACACAATAGTCTTACTTCCTTCAATTTTAAATTTCATTTTTTATTCACCATCCTCTTGTACACTGGGTTAGGTTAAAAGAAACAGGACAACATTTACAGAGACCAAATTTTAATAGAAAATTATGTTAAAAACATCAAATATTGTGTTTTTGAAGTCTTAAAACTCCAGATTTAAGTTTTAAATGTTCATACTTTTTTATTTTAGGAAATTACCTAAATTTAGAGCTAATCTCTAATTTAAGAGTACCTATATGAGTTTTACTTAAATTTCCAAGTAATACATTAGTGTATATGAGATGATTTATTTATCATGCTCACTTGCTTAATCAAAAAATAAAAAAAACTGATTATTTAGTAAACTATATAAATAATTAATAGAAATTTTGTAATATACATATATTTACCAATTAATAGCAATAAAAATACTGTTATTAGTTTATAATTAATATTATATAATAATGGATATGAAGATTATTTACATAATAATCAGTCATTTTTTATGAAACTTCAACTTCCACTATTTTTTATACTTTTTAGTGGAATTTTTATTCTTTTATAACTTGCATTGTACTTAATAATAGATAACAGAAAGTGACAATTAATTAAGTTATTAACACATTAATATTCATACCTTAATTACTCTAATAGGTTTAGCAGGATTATTGATGTCAAGATATGTAATAAAACCACTCAATGACACTGTTAACAAATAATTTCCTTGCCATAAACAAGATACCTAAACAATTAAAAAAATAATATTATTTAAAAACAATGTCAATTTAAATATTATAATAAACCTGTTGATCTTCCACTTGATTTCCAATAACAAATTCACTAATAACTGACTTTGTTTCAACATCCCATAGTTTACATGTTTTATCGCCAGATGAAGTTAGCAATTTAGTACTGTCACCATTCCAGGCAACCTTAATAAAAATTAAAAATACAAATACAAAATAAGATTAAGAAATCTTTTCTGAGTGTTTGTTTAACACTATGAAAAAGAATTCTCCAAGATTTAAAATGTTTACTAAGTACAAAATTTTCCTATTAGTCAGCCAACAGCTCAAATAATGACAAAATATAATACTATTATAAATATTTAGTATATTAAACTATGTATTTAACAGGTAATATTGTCTTATAATATTAGTAATTAAAACGTGGTGCTGGTGGGTACATTTCTATGTAAAAAAAATTATTTTTTGATTGTATGCACAAAGTGGGTTCTAATTATTTATTGTTAAGTATCTTTTTAATGGTCATGCATTTTGGATGTTGTGTAAAAATATAAATGTTTTTCCAATTCTAATAATTTATATGAATAGATCAATAATAACTTACTCCATAAACACCTCCTTTGTGGGCTGGACTACCAAGTTCAGATAACAAATCTGCAGAAGACCCATCATATAAGAATATCTTTCCATCAAAACCGCCAGATGCAAAAATATTGCCATTAGGTGAATAGCGAACTGCTTGAACAAATCTTGAATGTTCCTACATACATATTTTAGTAATTTTAAAATATCAAATAAAGTTGTAATAACTTATACATGGTTTAATTTTTTTATTAAACATAAGTTAATAATGAATTAGGCATTATGATATTAATAAAATGAATTAATTAAACACTATTACTAATATATTTAACTATTGAACTTCATCAAATAATGCTTTAATTATTAAAGTTAACAATGAATTAATCAATTTTTTTATAAAAGTTTTACCTACAAATTATAGAAAAAAATTTGAGCCTAGGTTCAAATCTGAACCTAATAGACACATTCCTAAATTACAAATTTAGTATAATAATATGGTAAAATTATTGTTAGGATTTCCTTATTTATACAACATAATTAGTATTATTAAAAAAAAAAAAAAAATTGTTATACCTACTTATATTGGTTTACAGTATATTAGTTTATATATTTATAAATTATAGTAAAATTTCAATGTCAATTTTTACATCAAACTATCATTACATTTTATATTTTTTAGCTATATATAATATATACCTAAATATATATATATATGATATTTACTTGTTTTGTCATTTTGAACTTGAACGGTGGTCCTTCAAATACACCAATAGTATTATCTTCACTACCAGTTACTATTCTAAATGGGCGAGTAGGACGAAAATCACATGAGTTAATTGGTTTTGATTGTCCTGAAATTTCTCCTACAGATGTGCCAGTTTCAGACATAAAGACATGTCCAAATCTTAAAAATATATTTAAATTAATTGTAATGAAATAAAATAAATAATATTCTTTTAATCTACCTTTCTCGCCCTTCACCAACAGCTACCATTCTTTGATTGTCTGGAGACCACGCAATATCTTTAATAGGTCCACCAATTGGATGAAATTCATTTTTCAAAATATGTTCTTTATTGACAGTATCCCAAATTCTTATTTTACCAGACTGATCTAAAAAGAATTTACTTTTTAATAAATTATATATATAATTTAGTTAGCTAAAAATAACTATTTTGATAATATTTAATCCCATATTCATTGGTAAAACATACACAAAATAATATTTTTGTGTTTTGAATGCATTAATGCAATATTTATGATTGCTACAAATGTTTAATTTCCTGACTCTTCCATAATTCCATAATTTATGTACACTTTTGTAGGTGTATATTATTTATAATGTAGGTGTGTAATTTTATAAACCCCTTTTTACTTTTATTGTTATTTTTATAAACAATTAAGGGAGCTAAGCTCCTAAAAATGTTGAAAATTAATTCAGTTAACAGTCAAAATATTAGATAGTTTAATCAATTAAAAAAATTTATTTATTAATTTTTTACTAATAATGCAGAAAATAAAAAAATATTAATATATGAATAATTATGAAAACAGACAATTAAAATATTTTTTAATTAATACCTCCAGATGCAATGTAAAATCCACTAGGTGAGTATTTGGCAACATTAACAGCACATGAATGTTCAGTATATATATCACATATTGCTGGATTCTGTAGTAAAATAATAATAATTTTTTTAATTATCTAAACAACCTATTATTGATATTTCCTAGTTTTTACCTCAATATCACGTATAATAACACTATTCCCATGAGTGTATAAAAAATTTTTTCCTTTAGGGTCACTACCTAATACAATAGGTTGACCTCTTGCTGTTCTTGGCAGTGTGGCATAAATATATTCTAAAAATTATAATTATAATATTTGAAAACTATATATATTGTTTATTGCAATAGTATTATACTTACTATTAGAATAAGCAGCCATGGTTAGTAAAAACAGAAGTATCTATGTAGTAAAACTAATATTTTTGAAATATTAAAATTATTTTTTAATTTAATTATAAAACAATGAAAATATTTGTTTGGAAAATAGATGTTCTTGTTGAGCAAAAATATTTCAATTTATTATCCACAACGAGATATTTGATACATTCTACAAAAAAAAATTGATAAGCAAAATATGATAACTCAGCTTACTTTACCATATTTGGAATACGATAACAACCATCAGATAGTAAAGATCTCTGAATTAACTTAATTATTATGCCGTTTTGAGGTTATCTTAAATGCTCGAACAACTTCTTTTTTAACGGTTGAATAACTCTTTTTAAGAATTTTGACCTAACTACCACGATATGTAGACCGTACCGAATAAAACAGAAACATTAATTAAAATAAACTTTTGCTAAAAATAAAATAAATAGGGCCCAATTGAGATTCGATTAACTTTAGATATTAAAAACCGTTGACCATAATACATAAATAGAAAAATTTTTTATTACTGTCTTAAATTTCAAACGAAATTAATTAATGTTTAAATTATAATTCATAAATAAACTTTTCTCTAAAAATTATGTAATTATATGATACTCAATAATCATTATAAAAAATGTATCTCGAAGTATTATTTATTATTTTTTTAAGAAAATAATATGAAATAAAATATTTATATTAAACAAACCATAAGAAATTTTCCTTTGTTGTAAAATTATATTTGCTTGACATTTACTTAAATGAACCTAGGTTCAGTATTAATTAAAGATTTTTAAGATATATTTAAAGGTGTCAGAATTTCCGAAACATTTTAAAAAATTTGAAAAATTCTACTTTTTACACTTGTGTTTTAAATTTTGAATGCCCACTGTTTAAGGTTAAGGTATCAGATTATCAAAAGAAGGATATATATAAAGTATTAATAAAAAAAAAATTATGCTGATCCAAACATTTTTTAAAAAATTACTAATATAAAGTTAAAAATTTTAAATAGTCAGATATCCAAAAAAAAAATATTAAGTAAAAGGATAACAACTAAGGTATTCATTAAAAAAAACATTTTTTGTTTCATCTATTTTTTAAAAAGTTATGTTAGTTTTAAGATAAAAAACATTTTAAAATGTCAAAATTTATTGATATTAAAAATTGTTATTTTTGTGGAGATATTCCCAATTCACAGGGAACAAGGTATTTTTAAAATTTTTGACGTTAATGTCTTCAACTAGATACAATTTGTGATCTTTTGACGTATTATTGAAAGAAATCGATCCTGTGAAAGCTGACAAAAAATGGCGACAGATACATCCAAAAATAAAAACACATCACAGTAAAGTTAATATTCTCTCAGCTTCGCAAGCCAAAAATTTTGTTAAGAATTACACCTTTTTCTTTGAAAATTCTTTACTAGTTATCATTATCTATTAAAGGAAATGCCTTGTCGTTGAAGCCACTCCTCTCTGTTTGACACTAAATTCTTCAGTGAAACAAGACGCACAGTGCACGAGTCTCAGGATATTTTCAAAATATTGTTTTCTTGAGCGTCCTCTTGGTTTCTTCCTACTTATTTTTCCTTCGAAGCTGTTGATTTTATAATCACTTTATAGTGTATATTCATTATTGTGTCGGATAATGTATATGATAAACTTTAATTTTCTTGATTCAATCACCTTCATCAGTTGTCTTTTTTCTAGCACTTGCTCATTTCTTTTCATGTCTATCTATTTTGTCTTTGTCATTTTTCTCCATTTCCATAACTCTAATGCTTCTGTCTTTCTTGTCAATTATCCATGTTTCACTGCCATATGAAAGCACACTCAAGACAAATGTTTTAACGAATCTTTTACGTATGCCAATACTTAGATGTTTATTGGTGAGAAGTTGATTCTTGTTTTGGAATGCTTGCTTTGGCAATGGTATTCTTCTGCTGATGTCTGGAGTTGATTTGTTAATGGAAGTATGCTGTATAACCTATAAAGGGGTTGTGGAATTTTGAATTATTTTCTTTTTTGACTTGAATTGGTGTTTTTCAATGTAGAGAACAGCCAGAGTCGTATAGAGAACTATATTTAGTCAGTAGAAAGATTACCAAACCACTTCAACTTTTTGTCAAAAATCTTTAAATAAGATGTAATGAAATTACTGGAACGTTAATATGATAAAGTTCTTGGTCGTTTATAGAGCACAGTAATACAACAAGTGTAAAAAATATACCCACTGCTTTAAATCTTCTCGTGCTTAAAAACAATAAAGACATAATTTTAAAATAGACTCATAGATTATTTTTCCTATTGTATATCAAAAAATTACAAGTCAATTTCATTAAGATATGTTTTATATTTTAAAACTATAATTATATATTATATTTAAAACTATAACTTTTCATAAGACACCATTAATAAAATTTCATTGTTGATAATGAAGGACACTAAAGGCACTGGTAAATCAATCAGATATGATCACTATTTTTGAAAATTCACTTTATATAGGATTTTATGTAGTAGATTATACTTTTACCTAAAGTAAAAATTTTGATATCTGATTTGCTGCAAATTTAAAACAAAAATCTTTTTGAAATCAATTTGTTTTAGTTTATTTTAATCATGCAACTAAGGGGGTTAAGGGTTGTAAACTCCCCGAATTATTAGCAATGTTTGAAATTTTTTGTTATGATAACCTATTTTAGCTTCGATGCGAAGCTGAGAAGGTATTGGTTTTACTAAGATGTGTTTTTTTTTTTTTTTTTTTTTGTGTTACCACTTTTTCTCAGCTCTCACCGAACCGATTTCTTTCAATGATACGTCAAAAGATCACAAATTGTATCTAGTCGAAGACATTACCCTCAAAAATTGAAAAAAATTCCCTCGTTCCCCGTAAATGGGGGAAACCTCCAAAAAA